CATTAAATCGCTCCTTAAACCAGACCGAGCTCAAGACTTACCAAACAATGACCTCTAAAGCCTTTCGCATCGCTGTTTTAGCCCTGCTCGTCTCGTTGTGTTTGCAATTGGCTGAAGGCGGCCCTGTGCTAAGTAAGTGTATCCTTCTTTGGTGTTAGCAGGAAAATGATTACCTTTATACAAGATTATAAAAACAGTGAATATAATGGGTAAATATGGCATGAAATAATGTTAACAATTAAACAATATATAAAAAAAGATATGTATAATTGCACTAAAACTACATAAAATATAACTTTATTATTTCCATAATTACAATTACTGTGGGATATTGATCAAGAGCAAATCAGGATATTGTACATTTTCCACGGAAACAAATAGAATGTTGATTAATCTATTTTGACATGCTCCATAATTGCTTAAAAAAACAAAACACTACCACTGTACTTTGTTTAAATTGTGATGTTTTAAGAATCATAGTGTTATGCGAAGGTTAATACACAGTATTCTGTTATGTAGTGGGTGTTCGGAGTTGTGCTGTAATAACAGATACAATGTTTTATTTAAACATATATATTTTATACATTTTCTCTCTGTCTTATTTATCCGTCCATCAGTTGGCTCATGCCTAACCCTTTATATCTTAGATACATTTGGGCTGTTTACTAACTCTGTATATCTGGGATACAGCTCAGTTCTTTACTAACCTTTTATATCTGGGATATAGCTTGACTCTTTGCTAACCCTGTATATCTGGGATATAGCTCGGCTCTTTACTAACCCTGTATATCTGGGATATAGCTCTTTGCTAATCCTGTATGTCTGGGATACAGCTCTTTACGAACTCTGTATATCTGGGATACAGCTCTTTGCTAACCCTGTATATCTGGGATATAGCTCGGCTCTTTACTAACTCTGTATATCTGGGATACAGCTCTTTGCTAACCCTGTATATCTGGGATACAGCTCTTTACTAACTCTGTATATCTGGGATACAGCTCTTTGCTAACCCTGTATATCTGGGATATAGCTCGGCTATTTACTAACTCTGTATATCTGCAATACAGCTCTTTGCTAACCCTGTATATCTGGGATACAGCTCAGTTCTTTACTAACCCTGTATATCTGGGATATAGCTCGGCTCCTTTATAACCCTGTATATCTGGGATATAGCTTGACTCTTTACTAACCCTTTATATCTAGGATATAGCTCGGCTCCTTTACTAACCCTGTATATCTGGGATATAGCTCTTTACTAACCCTGTATATCTGGGATATATCTCTTTACTAACTCTGTATATCTGGGATACAGCTCTTTACTAACCCTGTATATCAGGGATACAGCTCTTTACTAACCCTGTATATCAGGGATACAGCTATTTACTAACCCTGTATATCTGGGATACAGCTCTTTACTAACCCTGTATATCTGGGATATATCTCTTTACTAACTCTGTATATCTGGGATACAGCTCTTTACTAACCCTGTATATCTGGGATATAGCTCTTTACTAACCCTGTATATCTGGGATACAGCTCTTTACTAACCCTGTATATCTGGTATATAGCTCTTTACTAACCCTGTATATCTGGTATATAGCTCTTTACTAACCCTGTATATCTGGTATATAGCTCTTTACTAACCCTGTATATCTGGGATACAGCTCTTTGCTAACCCTGTATATCTGGATATAGCTGGGCCCTTTAATAACCCTGTATATGTGGAGTATAGCTTGGCTCTTTACTGACCCTGTATATCTGGGATACAGCTCTTTACTAACCCTGTATATCTGGGATACAGCTCTTTGCTAACCCTGTATATCTGGGATACAGCTCTTTGCTAACCCTGTATATCTGGATATAGCTGGGCCCTTTAATAACCCTGTATTTGTGGGGTATAGCTTGGCTCTTTACTGACCCTGTATATCTGGGATACAGCTCAGCTGTTTACTAACTCTGTATATGTGGACTATCACCTAACACCAGCTTCCTTTATTGTAGCTGTAGCTCAATGTGCGGTGGCCCCCAAAGCAAGGACAGAATGTGGAGTTCCAGGTATCAGTAAGGAGGAATGTGTCCAAAGAGGATGTTGCTTTGACTCTAAGATTCCTGAAGTAATTTGGTGTTTTAATGTCCAGAGACCTTTGGATTGGGTGGAAGATGGTAAATACATATCTGTTCATAGTCCATCTCTATTGTAAATAATGCAAACTAACTAAATATTGTAAATAACTGACTTTGTATTTGTGCCATGCTACACTAAACATACTAAGATTGAGACTGGTGATGTACAAGAATGGGGCTCCTTACAATTTCTACTGATGTCTGTTCAGTAAGAGCTGAGCCACAGCCTAATGACATTTAGATGGCCAAATTCAGTTATTTTAACCAAATGTTTGTCGGTTCATAAAGAGCAATTTATATTATTTCACCCTATTGGCACTATCATTTGGCTACCATTTGATTAAATATTAAAATCAGCCTAATCTATTTTTAAGTTTCCTAATTCAGAAATTTACAAATACCGAATGGCAATAAAATACATTTCCTTGGTTTCATCCAAACTTCTTTGATACAAGATAGGGGAATTACACCCGTAACCACAGTGACTGAGCCACAAGACACCCTAATTCTAGATTCTAACCATAACTTACCCTGTAGCAGTACCCCAACCCTACATTGCCTTATATTTGCAGCAGCATTTTTGCTTCTTACAGCTGGGAAGAGATATTTTCCAATGAATCTTACTGCAGCAATGAGACTCATTTGAAAATAATAGACCCCCACTAAGCTCAATCGTTGCAGTTTATTTCCCATGAGTCCATTTGCATCAGGTGTTGGGTGGAAATATACAGCAGTGTCCACAATTGCAAATACATCTGTTTATTCGTTGAAATAAAGGAATAAGGGCATAAAGAAGGAAAGTGCCATTACCTTCAACGTTGAAGTAGTTTGCATATATATTTTATTTCCAATGAATGCGGCCAGCATTAGTAGCTGTATTCAGACGTGTGCTGCTCCTTCTGTTGGCTTTTTCATTATTTAGTTTCCTCTTGGTAAGTAAAAAACAGAAGTTTGAATGGCAAAAAGCCTTCCATTTGTGATCATTCCAAAGCGCCGTGCGTTTAAAGTCATCAGTTTGTGGCTGGGTTCCCTAAACCTTTTTTTTCGATCTGACAACAGATAAACGGAACCAGCATAGAAATATATAAAATAAAACGAACACAGAAAGAGAACAAACCAGATCTAATATTGTAAAAGTTCCAATTTATTTACTTTGTGTAAATGTTATGTTTGCATTATTTGTATTAAATCTCTGAATTTACATTTATTTATTATTCATATTTTAGCAGATTGTTAAAACATCCCCTGGCCATGAAGATAACCCAGGAAGCAGTGAGAAAACTACATTGAATTATGAATTATTTGATTACTATGAAAAGTCCCTTCCTTTTTGTGATCTGTCTCAATGTGCACTGTTTTCCATTTCAATAAAGCCATCGTGACTTATGGAATATTACTGATTTTTCTATTTGTTACTTTCTAACTATTTACTATCACATATATATATATATAGGAGAGAGGGTCTAAACTTGGTCTAACAGAACTGAAACGCTGAGTATATGGTTCTATTATATTCCTTGACAATACAATAGTCATCTTTTTACTTATGATTTGTATTTAAATACTTTTACACACACTCACAAACATGTACTCAGGCTCACATGTACTGACGTACCCAGGGGCACATGCACGTGCACACACAGAATAAATGTACATGATTCATAATGGTGTGTCTTATAAGAAAATAATGCCAATGTGCATTTGTAAAGACCTTAACAAACACAAAATCAAACTTTGAGTATTATTTTCAAGTCATGTGCCAGTCACTGCCACATACATAGCTTCTAGCCATGATCCATACCACTTACCTTCTTCTGAAGTCCAGTGACATGTATCCAGTCCCTAGGGCACAATTAATTAATGAGAAATACACGTAAAGGATAATATGTATCAAAGTGTCAGAATAACTTTTGGAAAATCTTACAGTTACTGTTTTTATGAGCATGTTTAATGTTTCTATATATAAAATGCAATATCTATAATTTATACATTTAAGCCTGTTTTGAAAAGTCTCCATGCTGGCACTGCAACTAATTTGTTGAATATAAACAGCACCATTTAACACCTATTTTTTATATATTGGAAGAGCCAAAATTCGGAACAAAAATAACAGTTCAAAACACCAAAAGAGTCAACAGTTGCTAGTACAGACACGGAGGGGAATTATTTGGAGCATACATTTGGCTACACTGGCACAAGTGTAGCCAAGAGTATAAAATATAAAACACATCTAGTCCTCACTTCTGTCATTTTACCCCACTCTCGTTTGAGCATGGCCCACCACAAATTCTGTCTCTGTATGTCCTATGTTTCTTGTTACAACTGTTTGTTTGTTAATCCACCTATGGAACCTGTAGAATTTGTTGGTGTAATTATGATGGATAGACAGACAGACAGACAGACAGACATACAGACAGACAGACAGACAGATAGACAGACAGATAGATAGATAGATAGATAGATAGATAGATAGATACACTAACCATTAAGAGTGTTTCCACCACTTTTATACATAACCACCACTTTTATAACCAACTATGTCTGTCTCCTAAACATATGTATGTCAATTAAGGCCTTTAACTGTTTCCAATAAATTGTTTATAAAATATCATTACTACTTACCAAATCTGGTGGAGTCAACTAGTTCCAAGGTACCTATGGTATCTACCTTAGTCCAGCAACTAATTATGTTTCGCACATAAAAACAGAAATGTGAGCCCCTGTTTTTTTTTGGAAGCAAGAAGTGTATTTTATACATTGTAGTTCTTCTAAGAAAAATGAGTCTTTTGAGTCAAATGAAAAAATTGGAATACTTTATTTAGCTTTATAATTTGCATCAATTAAACTATATTATCAACAAAGCAATATGAAAATACCATTGACACTAACGTAGAGAAAAATGCATTTTAAATGTTGCTATAATGCTTAAATACACAGAAACACGCCCTATGCTATTTCACAGAATAAGGAGTGTCCACGATCTAACATTTTGCTAAAATGCCCCATATCCTAATAGTTTGTCTACAATATATTGTTCCAAAGAATGGAGACAGCAAGTTAGTTACCGATTCATGTCTACAGCAGTGCAATTCTAAAACAGCGTGCGAGAGTCCACTATACAATGTTCCCCCAATGAAATAGTGCAATGCACTGGTACATACATTGACACGAGCAGTAAATAGCCCACTTTCACAATATACATTGTTGCACATCGTTGCACGCTGATCAAACGTTATTTGCATTGATTCTTGCCTTGTAAAAAATAAGAATTCTAATTTCAAGACATTAGTTAAAGGTTCATATAACATTAAATATATTACATTTTTAAAACTGATATTTTTTTGTAATTTTTTTTTTTTTTGGTTAGAAGTTAATGTTTAAAATATTCAATATAAAAAGCAGTTCCTTACCCTTCCAAGAGATCAATACAATCATAACATAAATTTATTATTTCCTTTCATGTAGATTACAAAAATAACACTTCCTTTTCTTGTTCAAGTGTTTGAGCAATAGATATTTTACATAAACGAACGAAATAATAAGAAATGAAGTAAATGTTCGAACGTTTGTCAAAAAAATATGGCGCTACAGCTAATAATATATTAATTCTGATATATATTAACCTGGAGTGGTACTGAAAACCTCCTGTTATTTATAATTGCATAGGGATTTGGGATAGAGCGCAGGTAACATTTTTAACTTTTATTTTATGTATTTGGGATGATGGATAGCATAGCTGCCCAAGAGTAATGGGAGCTTGAGTGCAGGGCCTATTTTTGAGTGTGTATATATTTATTAACTGGTCTACCATTGCAGATCTGCTCCAGGAAAAGAATTAGCACGTCACATTATTTTGGCAGGATTGGCTTGCTTCTAACAAGATCTGCCTAAAGTGGAAGGTGCATTTTTGTGCCTTTTTAACCTTTCTCAACGTCACCCACTGTATGTTCCAATGTTCATTGTCAACTAAAGAATTGTACATTGGTGATTGCTGAAACAGATGCTGGCACGTTACATGCTGTGCCAGTGATTCCGCTGAAGGTGTGTGTGTTTATGTGTATATGTGTGTGTGTTATCATAACTGTAGTTACTGTTTTTAAAGTGTGTTTATTGTGTTAGGGATAAACCCTTCTGTTGTTTAGATTTAGGAAAATGTTTGAATGAGGAATAAATATTTCAGATGTGTACTGGATGGAAGTGAATAAAACCGTGATTGGTTAATTTCAGATAAAAAAAGTTGTTAAAGTTATGTATTTGCTCATGAAATAAGACATATTTCTGCCTCTATCGGAGATGTATGAAAATTCTTGTTTTGCATACTTGTATTTCTGTGTCCTATATATTTTTGCAGCAGAATCTTTGAAATTAGATTAGTCTTTATAGCTAAGCAACATGGTAGCACATCTAAAGAAAACCTATTCTGACTGCCAGTGGTTCTATACTGAATTCAATGCTTCCTCTGAAATTTTCTGGACACAACAATGTGTAATATGCATGCAGGAAAACTTTGTTTACACTTTTTTTCCTCATAATCCAATTGTTATAAACAGTAGGGGCACAGGGTGCTCCAAACATCCCACTGTCAGCAGAGCAGGCACCTGCATACCAGCAGCGGAATTGTGTGGCCAGTGCCAGCACTTCACATTCAGAATGAGGCAGAGAGTGGGTGACAGAGGAACTCCTGGGATCAGTCTGTGCTCTGACTGCACAGCTCCCTCGCAGCCCTGTGCTAATGCCAAGTACCTGTACGTAACATGACCCGGGGTCAGTACAGAGCTGCAGGTGGCTGTGCAATCAGAGCGCAGACTCATCCCAGCAGCCTAAAACTAGACACCAGGAATAAATATTTGTGTGTGTATAAACATAAGTGTGTTTATGAATGTGATTGTGTGAATATATGTTTTTGCATATAAGTGTGAGTGAATATGCATGTGTGTGTGTGTACAGGAATTTGGGTATGTGTATATGTGTATATCAATGTGTGTGTGTGTGTCTGTAACACATAAAAAAAATCTACTCAAACAATCAATTGGGGGGATGTCAAATTACATCTTCTACTAGCAACACTTTCATCAATCTTCCCTCACGTGTTCGGAAAAAATAACATACAAACAAAAACGTGTTTTGTCTGCATTACTGCATATTATGTTGTGATGGATTCACATAAACATTTTAGTAGATTTGTTTTCTAGTCTATTTGAATATGGAGAATTATGTAAATTTGTATATAAAAACTATAATTTTATGTTTCTTAAGCACTCTAAGTTGGAAAACCTAGATGTAGACGTAAATGTGACTCTTTGAAACTAGCAACTACATGTTGCCCAATGGACATGACACACATACATAGAATTCAGCTATTTACTCATTGAATTACATTCAGAAAGTACGTTCTTGGCCAAAATATGGCTCAAATACAATCTCTATTGCTGATCCAAGCTGATACAACACAATCGATTACCTTCACAAGTCTTTGGCATTTCAACATTGATAAAAGCAGAAAACAGAAATGATGTACCAAATGGGTTTAGCAATGACATACTGATACAAGGTAGTATTTAAGATTCAACAAAACAGTGGACCAGGCTAGACAAAATAAGTGTTCCAAGCAGGAAACAAAATGTTTGTTTTATAAATTGCTGCGATTCCTTATATCTATAGTGCATGCCTATTACTGACTATGGCTTGAATTCAATTTGTTTCAATCAGCATCAGAAATGATTCCAGAAATTAATTATCTACAGAAATCATCATTAAGGTCTATGGGATTTTATGTTGATAAATAATTTGAAACGTTTTTTTCTAACAGATTGGAATAATTTCTGATGCTGATCCAGAAGAATTATATCAAGGTCAATGAGGATAAAACTGTGTGTGAGTATATATATATATACATATATAATATTGTGTTTTTTAAATCAAATGGCCAAGTTAAAACATTATTATTTGCCAACCACTAATTAGGTTGTGATAGAACACAAACATTTCCATATGTTTTCTCTGAACACGACAACTTTGGTATCTGATTTCTAGAGTGACGTAGAAGAGATCAGTTTGTCAACATGTTTCGCAATTAAATTGACATTTTCTCAAGTTGACAATATGTAAGACAAGAATATATTATAAAAGGCTATAGCTCAGATCTTCCTAACTAAATTGAATTCCCTCTACAAGCTAGCGGTCATGTAGCATATGGGAGTCTATAAAACCACATGCCATGAGATTCATCATCAGAGTTTAAGTACTATTTAACAAAACTGCCAATTACTATAGATCAGATGTTGGTGCAAGTTGATGGAATGGACAATGTATCTTGTAACATGCTCAGCTAGTCCCAGCCAATCCAGTAGCTCAGGGATTGATCTGAAACTAGTTGAGCGTTCCAGTTCAAATCTGTCCAGCTGATGCTGTGCATCGATGATGATGTCACGCACACTCATCAGATGCAGATCATCTAGCAGATCAGAAATATATTTCAAACCAAGGGAGCAAGCAATTCCACAATCTGCCCAACTGAACCACTAGTCTAAATGTTGATCACAAGTTAGTGGAGCTGTATGCTTGATCATCGGCATAAGAACCCGAAGTGAGAGGCTCAAGGGGACAAAATTTCAAAATTTTCGCACAAATCTAGTTGACCTATTTGCCCATCTGATTCAACAGATCATGGACAAGTCATACTGCCATCCTTTTGCAGCCTTCTTGGCCACCAGCTAATGGGATTTTAATATATTGCATCTTCCCAAGCAACGTTCAGCCTTCCCAGTTCACAGAGATGAATAGATTGTGGTTATCGGTCAGGAAGGCATTTCATTTACCAATGGGTCCACTGATCCAGTAGATCAATTTTCATTAGAAGACAGTAAGCCATTCCACTTGCATCGCCCTACAGCTTATTTTCCACATCTACCATAAAAAAACAATTCTCAGTGCATTAATACGTTATCTTAAACAAAGGATCCTAAGTACTTATTACAGCTGACTTGACTTTGAATAATGTCCATTTAAAGTACCAAAATATACTGAAATCATTATGTTTGATTAGCATCAATCTTAAAAGCAAATGAAACTGGGCTGTTTGTTTAAACTCTCATCATCTCAGCAATATTTAAAGGCTCTGCAGCTAGGGATGCCTGGGAGGTAGAAACTAATGATTTTCCAGAAACAGTGTCAGAACTGACATAATACAAACACACCATACTAGATACATTACAATGTAAATGACAATGTTTGCAGTTTTAGTGCTAGTGCATGGTCACACCTTAAGGTGTTAAAGTTGGGACAGAAAATAAAGATACCGGACTGGGTTTGGCTTCCGAATTATTTATTTTGGACTTGAAAAAATTATCGATAACAAAGTTTTGGATGTCAGCCATCTCTCTAGATACTTAGAGGTTGAGTGTTCTCCTACCATTAACCCTTTCAACAAGCCCTAACCTTCTGCATCAAAAATGGATCTATCAAAAAGTAAACAGTTTAATTATTAAACATCAAATTGCAGTAAACTATATGCTAAATTGTACAATTTATGCTAAAAAAGTCAAACTGTAACTATAGCTGAGTTGAAGAATCTTTCCCAATCAGTTGCTTCAGCCTAAATTTTGCAATTTTGGTTCTCACTTCAATTCAGTGTTTGGTGTCCTTAAAGAGACAGTTATGGTTTTAATTCTATTTAAAAAAATCCTATTTGCAAAAGTTTAAATATGTTAATGTTATGGAACTTTAAGTATTAACTCTTATTGCTGCAGACTCTACATTCTATAGAAGACAGATCTTCTATTAGTTAATTCTCCTGAGCATTTTTAAATACATTTTCTATGCTGTCTCCACCTACAGGTCCCATTAAAAGCTGTTTCTAAAGTGCAAGATTGCTTGTCAAAGGAAAAAGTCCCATAACATTTATATTCATACAACTTTAGACATATATTAACGTCTTTCAAATAATATATATATATTAACTTCTACTGTGCATTTTCAGATTTCATCTAAAAATTACCTTTTTATAGAAGCATTTTTGACCATTCAAGAAACCACTACAAAATTTAATTTTAGAGTACTCCTAATAGAAACAGGAGCACAAATTAAAGGGACACTCCACTGTCCAAATACAAATACTGTTTAGCAGATATACCACCAGTGAAAACTTGCATGTATTAAAATATGTTTTTCATTAGGGGGTAAATCTAAAAACATCTTGCAAAATCAGCAGTTCTTTTGTCGGTGGCCTCTGCAAGCCCTCCCCTTCTAACCACGCACAGACTTTCTGTGGTTGTCCAATCACAGATTCCCCAATGCAGCTTTGCAAGGCAGGTACTCTGGGCAATTGCTGAGTTTGGCTCCACTGAGCTAACCAAACCAGGAAGTAACAGGACCAGTTATCTGACTGAAAGCCTGGGGGTATGTAACCAGGTTAATTTTCCTAAAAGTGTAAATTTCTATTAAAATATGCACTTTTTGTAAAATGAAAAAATAGGACACACTCCACAATAAATCATTTCAGCAAGATCAAGTGCTTTAGGGGCCTGGAGGGTCCCTTTCAATGACTGCGTTCTATTCTTGAAACACTGAATTTAAATTGAATTAAAAAAAAAAAAAAACTCTTCCACAAAATCCATCCATGAGACTTTGGCAAAATTACCCAACTCTGTGATATAGTCATAACTGTCTGTTTTAGCCCAACTTTAGCAATTTAGTTTCCAATTAATTACAGCTCAGTGTTTAGGGAATAAACCTTACACTGGCTAGCCAGAGAGTAATTAGGAAAATATATTAAACCCCATGTGAGGAAAACACTTTTAAATATATCATGTAACACAGTATGTTAAGGTATTTCATTTAAATTAAATTGCTTTGTCCCTTAAAAGGTACACTTTAAATAAATACTGCCTTAAGATAAAATTACTTTATTGTTATGTATTTTGTCACTGCCCAAACATTTAATTGGACAATGATGACAAATAAATAGGAGATAATAATAATTTATTGGTGCTTTGGTTACAGTTACAAACTTTGTACCTAATTCATGAAATGATGAGTTTTGAACTAAAGATGTTGAAATTGCAAAATGTGTGTGCATCTGGAGTGTACTTGTGTCTGTCAGAGTTATTCACTGATTGGGTTATTTACTAATGGATGGACAAACTTCTCTGAAAATGGCGAAATTCCAATTCTAATATTTACAGAAGCCAAATGCTGTAGGAATTCGGTCAGGCCAAGCGAATCTGCAGCAATCGCCCCGAATGCATTCAGTGTCTGGATTAAAATCACTGTTCGCATCCAAATCCAATACAAAGAATAGATTTTGGAAGATCCACAAAGGACCTTTATTAATAAAACTCGGACCCAAATCCATCCAGCAGGATGCACATTCGCAAATTATTACTCTCTGCTTTTTTGCAAGTGAATCGATAATTTGATGTACTATGTGCCCAGAGGCGAATAGTTAAAAACCTTTGGCAATGAGAAGGTTAATTATCTGGCAGCTGACCAGAGCTGCTTAGCCAGCCTCCACATCAAAAAAGTGAAAAAACAACACGTAAATTGGTCATTTATACTAGACATATCTACATAGCATGACTTACTCCATAAAAAATAAAAAAAATAAAAAATTGCCATGCCAATGTTATAACATGTCTGAAAATGCAATGTTTGCTTCGCTGTCGTGGCGAGGCAATCTTATTCTGTATATTCTTTGTGCAACAAAAATAAAGAATTTTTTTTTTAAAGTGAAAAAACTGTTTAATACATTAAAAGGCCTATGGGGGTCAATGAGACTCCCATAATAATGTAAGGGAGGTTTTAAACATATCTCTGAAATGTTTAAAACTAGCAACTGGCAGCACCATCCCTATGGGATAAAATAATTGAGGGGGCGTATGGTCTGGTTACAGTGGTCTTTAACCCTGCACTGTAAATCATAGAAATTCTTTAGAAACTTGCATGGGTTAAATCCACCTTTGGTAGCTGATCGAGTTAAACTCAGTCACATGACATAGGAGCTCTTAGGAAAGCACTGAATTCAATGCTTTCCTGTGTAAAGATTTTGGATACAAGGGCGAAACTCATCACGCATGCACATCAGTTTCTAATACGCCTTTACGATGAGCATTTGATTGGCCATAGTCTTGACAGCTGGACGACGTTGTGGGAGGAAGAGCAGCTGGTAGCGCCAATGGAGTCCCAGCTCTTGAGTAAAGAAACGTAAAAATATTTTTTAATGATTTTTAGGATAAACGTGGGGATGGTATCTAACACAAACCTGCAAATATGGCACTATAGACAGGTTTGCATTCCTGACACGTTAGTTTTCCTTTATTTCAATTAAATAACAAGAATATAAATTCAATGTATATGCTTGGTATTTCATTGATTTCCATCCTGAGGCATGATGTAGGCAGCCATTTTCATGTACTACACAACAGCATAAAAAGAATGCGAAATGAGTCAAGGAACACAATGAATAATGGCAGCTTCTATCAGAAGGATACTTAAAGGGACACTATAGTCACCTGAACAACTACAGCTTAATGTATTTGTTCAGGTGAGATCAATAGCTCCCTGCAGGCAATCTAATGTAAACACTGTATTTTTGATAGGAATACCTCTGAATGCCGCCCTATGAAGTATGTGCGCATGTGCGGCGAAGCCACGTATGTGCACAAGGGAGCAATGATGCTTCCAAATGGAAGCGTCTGATTGCTCCCTGCTCGCGCCCGCCTATTTCGTCATTTTGACGAAATAGGGGGCGCGACTTCACGAGGCTCCCGGCGCTGGAACCAGGTGAGTAAACTACTCTGCCTGGAGAGTCCCTTTAACAAGTAATGAAAAGTGGAATGCAACATATAATGAGAATGTTTCTACATGACACAGATTAAATCCCACAAATTAACATAAACCTGAGGTTTTCTTTTCTAAACTATTAAACTGTTAAAGGGAATGTTCTGTAATATATTTACGTTTTCATTGTAAAGTAAAAATAAGCACTTGAAATTCTGTAAGTAAATCCCTCTAATAAAAGTGATTTCTATGTTAAAGGATCACTATAGTGTCAGGAAAACAAACTAGTTTACCTGACGATATATAACCCTTTGGTCCCCTCACTCTCAGGGCCCCTCTCCCGCTGGTGACCCTTCAGCTACTTACTTTAATCCAGCGCCGGGCTCCCTCGGCGCTGGTGACCTCTACTCCCACTCCGACGTCAGCTCCCGAATGGAGCGGAATGCGCATGCGCTTAAAAACACCCATAGAAAAGCATTTCTCATGCTCATTTCATGCTTTCCTATGGACGTTCTGCACGCTGAATGCGATTTTCGCATTCAGTGTTGCAGAAGCGCCTCTAGCGGCTGTCAGGAAGACAGCCACTAGAGGCTGGATTAACCCTGCAATGTAAACATAGCATTCTCTGAAACTGCTATGTGTACATCTGAAGGGTTTAAACCTAGGGGACCTGGCACCCAGACCACTTCATTGAGCTGAAGTGGTCTGGGTGAATATAGTGGTCCTTTAATATCGCCGTTGCTCTAAAATCAACTAGAATAAACTCACTAGGCCTACACAACAATGCAGATTTTAGGGGCTAATTTGATTTTCTGAGTGCTTTGGCCCAACTGAAAATCTGCTGTCATGCTGGGAAATGATGGGGTACAAGAATTGTTTTTATTTAATTTCTCTGGAAGTGTAAGTATTGACTTTTCTCATATCTACTGACGTTAATGTTCCTTTAACGTTGTGTATTCAAGGTCAGCAAACTGCCTCTTGGACAGTAACGTACCATTGCTCATTTGAGATTTAATTTGTTTAAAAGCATACTGCTTATTTTCAAGGTGTTATCATACTTAATAAAACAAGCCTCTCCCAGTTTGGGCGAAAACCTCAGCAAGCAACAAAATGTGCAGCAGAACAAGAATGAAATTATATGGTAACTGTGTCCACACTATAAATCTGTCACATTGTTTAAGATTGTAATTATGTATCTGTCATTTTATTTATTTATGGTTTCTATTTTATTAGATCAATTTGCCTCCCATTTACAGCACTGTAGATTTTAGAATATTTATAAAATATAAATAAAATAACTTTTATATATCTTAATTTAAAGACTATTTAATTCCCAGACCCAGAAAAGCCTATCTCACTGAAAAACAAATCCTAGATACGCAGAACAGCTTTCCAGTAGAGGTGGTATCAGCTAAAAGAATGTTTATATAAACTGAAATTCTGAGCATGAAACACAATTGTTAATTGTTTTACATAGTGAATGGGCACACATAAAAAAACACACAACACAAAATGAATGAACAAACTGACGAAAACTGACACAAGCAATGGGGTGCATTAAAAAACATGATACAAAATGACAGATGGTAACGGTGAACTTTATGTCTTTAGTACAAATTTATTGTTGACTATACAAAACGCTAATAGACGCCAACGTCGCCATCGATGCTAAAAATATTTCTCAGGAACGCTGGAATGTGTTTTCAGGGCAATAACGCAGAACAATATCTCGGGGGAATTTATCGGTTCTCCATACTAGCGCTTTGCTTTATATTACTATATAAAAAATAATAATAACAATAATAACGATAATAAAATATTGACAATCAAAATATAATACAACAGTTCATCATATGTGACAGCAGTGAGCATTGACAAATTAGTGCATCATTTTCAGTATCGCATAAATGTTGCATCTTTACCATATTTGACATGCATACGGCAATAGGTACATTGCGCTTTGCCCGTATTATACGTGCCTTTTTAAACATGCAAGAGTTACTCCAACTACATTCTGTTATGGTACAATTGTGTCTCATCGTCCGAGTGCTAACAGTAAGCTATTTTTTACACTCATCTACCATTTAAAGAGTTAACATGTTTAGGTAAAAAAAAAAAATCAGCGTCTTAGATCTGTACACATTGTTGAGGTAGTTCTTATATGTTTTTGGAGTAATGTACAAAGATGACATGTTCCATAGTGAACCAGAATTTAACTTAGAAGAGATTGGATTTACACTTAGGTATATGTGTCTAAGAAGGGAATTAAGTGAGTGTAGGATTTACATAAAACAAAACCAAGGATGAGCATATGTCATTTACTGGAGATCAATTGAGGTAAGGCGTTTAAATAAAAAAACAAAAATGAAACGCACAAAACTAATTAAAAACATACAATGTATTGTCGATCACATGAGTACGCAATGCAAACTCTATACTTTTTCTCATTCATTTAGTTATTTTGTGGGGTGGAATTATTTTCTATAAACTACCACTGACATTTAAACCCTCTTCATGCCAGTGATCATGTCTAATAAAATTACTTATGATCCAAATCATAGTGTGCGAAACGCAACAAGATATAATACATTGCAAACAGGGTTGGCAGTGTTAGTCTACATGGGACCTGTAAGGGTCTTTCGTTAATTCAACATATTCTGGACCAAAAGTGAGTTAAGCAGCTTTCTTCTACCTTACCAGATTTGCATTAATTAACTTATGTCTCCTCTATGACATTCATACAATCTGAATTGTTAGTGTAGCAGTTGCTACACTCCATTTGTTCAAGCAGACATAGTGCAAATTGGACGACCATGGTACCTTTATCATTTTGCTAGGAGAAAATTAACACTATTCCCCTTATCTTTTCACACAATTTTTATCAAAAAGTGAGACCAGCTCTTAACCTAATATTTTGATAGTTATTGAAAGGAATGATAAGGAGAAGGAAGGTTTTTGCATTGTTTACATCACTTGGATATTTAGATCTTGCAAACTCAAGAAGGAAAGTTATCTGCTTAGTTAGTTATAGAATATCTTGAAGACGATTAAGCAGAAACACCAAGATTTTACTGTAAGAATCAAAGCAGGTCTCCAACCAACCATTGTCCGTCCATTATTTAAAGGAAGGATTTTTTGACCCAGGATAGAATAAAAATAAAAAATAAATTAAAAAAATAGAAGATGTGAATCTCTTTCGGAACAATCCGAAAAACCCCACTGATGTTCTAGGATTTCATTCTTTTCCTTCCTAGTTAAATCTAGAAAGTTTAATTAACATGTGACCCAGGAACAAAAATCCCAAAAGGATTGCAAAGTATTACCCAATAAAGTAACTAACACAATGGAGTTCCACGAAGGTTAGGTCTTGATACTGTTACTAGAGCAGGGATTTATATTCCAAGTACAGCGGGACAATACCAAGCTTCATCGGAAATATTCTTAACGACTGAATGTGTCTACAAACACTTGTTGGTCATTCTCGTTGGGTTCTGCTTTACCTCTCAGCCCGGATTTTATACTTGAGAACAAAATAGGCCGTGAGGCGAAGAACAAAAAAGAATACTCCAAGAATTATGAAATCTAAGTACAGCTTGGCGTTTTCTACATCCAGCTCCTTAAGAATAGCTTCTGATTTTTGAAAGTGGCATATCTCGTCTGGGTCGCAATGCAAATCCTCCCGGTCAAGACCGTAAATTGATAAAATCACCCCTTCAAATCCATACCTGCAAGAGACATTAAATAAATTATTCATCTCCACATTAATATCAGATGGTAGAGTAGGAAATAAAATGTCCATACGCACTGAGCTGAGAAACTAATCTAGACAATTGGTTATAATGAGACCTAAAACTACTTTAAAGAATATATCATGCATATATCATGCATTTGGTTTACATTAAATGATCAGTTCAAGGTTCTAGTGATATTATAAGTCTGTACACATATATGCTCCATATACAGTTATATATGTACATCTATCTATGACGGTTGCCAATGGGATAGCTCATTCTTAGGGATATTTCTATAGAGTGTTTTGGACAGCACCAATCAATAAAGTTAAACGTAGAGTTACAGTACTCGACCTTTAAATTTATCGATGCCTGGGTGCTGTCCAATACACACTTTAGAAATAATGTTTCTATAAACAAGACCAGAATAAGACTAAAGGCAAACATAGCACAGCAAAATAAATCACAACAAATTGTCACATTGTTCCTTTTTTCACCAAATATGTTATATGCTAAAGCTATATAACACAAGGCAAATTGTAGGGTTCTTGCGATTTAGGGTAGTTAGTCTGAAACATGTAACATATCTATTATCATGGTAGTATGCATTGTTTTAAATCTGGAAAAAAGATTTGCTTAGTTTTTACACGTCCACTGTTGATGGATAAATTAAATGAGATTACAATTTTCTTTTTTTTAAATGAAATTTTTGTTTGTTATTCTGGTCAGTACTCATTGAGGATGAATAGCAAATAAATAATGTCACCCAAAAGTAACTATGATGTCCTACGTTTCGGAGGAATGTCTATAAAGATATCCCGAATCCAAAAACACACATGTACAATTTTACTCACACAATGGAGCAAACAGAAAAGGTCCCCGACGTATGTAATTCTTAGATTCAATTAAAAATCATCATTCAAATTAAAATAAAATATTTTATTAATTGTAGCACTTGATTAAAGGCACGAACCAAAAAAGGAGAAAACACATAAGAAACACTGATTAAAAACAAGGTATGGGCTAGGTGGAACTAGGTGAACATTGCTACTATTGCTTAATATAAAACTTCCCATGTTTAGGGGATTGTATGAATACACAGGTAACAAATGAGGACTTTAAATAACACTATTACATAGGTCTCTGAATTCCCTAGAGTCGACATATAATCTTTTAATATATATATTTTATTTTATCCAATGAGGTGTCTTAGGTTAAGAAATGGGGAGGAAAGTGGAAATCCCAAAATTAATATTTAGGCTACCTGCTCCTTTTGGTTAATTTACTTCTAACCCTAAACCGGCTGCACAAAAAAATCACTTATGAAGACTTGTAATTAATGCAAGAGTGAGACAGTTGTTATTCTGTAGAAATTACCATCATCAAAGATGATGAACGATGGAATGTAACAGAAGGGATTTGAATTTGACCTCAACAAAACTAGGCTTCCTTGCCTTTACTGAACCTTGTTTAATTATTTTTGGATATTTGATAAAGGAGTCCTTTGAGGTCCATACCTGACGTAGGACATATATGACATCCACTGAAGGTAGCTTGGGATTGTATCAAAACTCACAAAGAACCCAGAGAAAAGCAGGACTGGGATCGCAGTAACTGGACCCACAAATGTTGCCACCTGAAAGAAAAAAATAATTCTTTAAACTGATGAACACATTACCGCTTTTATTTGTTAGCGTTTGATTTTCCAACCTCACAGGGACACCTCGGGCTGGAGATGATCCATTTTTGAAGCATTATACAAATAATACATTAAAAACTTGCCAAGCACCACATACCTGTAGTGAAGTGGAAGCTGCTCCTATCAGAAGACCAAGGGACTGAGCAACCAATGAGGTCATGGTTCCCAAAGCAGAAAACAGGACAAATCTGAGAATATCTGATGGCTGAGATGTCATCCAGTAGACAATGCTACAGTAAGCGACCGGAAACATGATCTAGATACAAAATAAAATACAGTTTAACAGCATAACACTTCGCTTTATGGAATCTTAAATCCCAAAACATAATTTAATTTCTCAGGAGCCAAGAATATGAATACATTTAAAACAGTATATCAATGTGGCCTGTGCTTTAGAAGGTTTCTCAAACCTTGGAGGTAATATTAAACAATGTTTTAATTCTCTTCCTCATTTGTAATGTGTGCCCTGCCAGTGCCTGGACTGAACTGGATTGTGATGTTACTAAATCTTTAACCCCTTAATGACGGACAGGGTCCGTCATCCTGGGGAAACCCTTAACTAAGGGTGACGGACCCGGTTCGTCATGCTTTAAAATTAATCCCCAATCGCCGCAGTGCCAACGATCTCGGGGTTAACGCTGTTGCTGGGTGCCTCCAAGTCAGGGGCAGACCAGCAACAGCAAATCTTGATGTACCAACGCAAGTAATCGCTGTGACAGCCAGTCACAGCGCTCACAATGCTGCTGGGATATCTGATTCGCCTCCCTTCACCTCTTGTGGTTTTTGAAGTGGAGAGAGACGATCGTTGATACTTTGTGTCCCTGAGGAAAATGAAACTGTTCTTAAAGGTTCCAATTCCCTTTACCCTGTACTTTTTGGAAAAAAAATAACCCTTTCCCTGCTGATTGATCACTGCCAGCAGTGATCAATATACAGGTCACAGTACTTTACTGTGATCTATGTTTTTTTTTTTTACCTTCAAGGGTTTTTAGTAACCCTAAGGGGTTAAATTTTAATATTTTATTTTATTAATTTGTGATTTAGTTAGTTGGGAGGGTGGGATTTAGTGGGAATTGGGGAATTTAGTGATAAGCTAGTTAGGGGTGAAAAAAATAAAATAAATTAAAGTTTAGTTATTTAGTTAAAGTTTATAACCGTAGTAGACAATGTTTAGGAAGTATAGCACAGAGGAGGCTTATGCCCTTTTAGCGGCCGACTCAGAGGTGACCGACACTGCCTCAGAGAGTGACGCAGGGGACAGGGACTATGTGCCAGATACTGCAGGACCATCAGAGAAAATCGCAGATTCCCCTAATGCTGAACATGGTGCAAATATATTTTCACCAGACATCCCAGAGTTCACTGCCAATCCTGGCATACAGGCTGACCTGTCTGGCTATAATGCACTGGATTGTATGCAGCTGTTCTTGGCTGTATGAGATTTTTGAGGAGATAGTCACGCAGACTAATTTGTACGCGGTGCAGTATCTTGCACTCAATCAAGACTCTCTTATCGCCAGGAAAGAGAGATGGAACCCAACCAGTGTGCCAGAAATGAAACAATTTTGGGCACTGACAATGCTAATGGGGATAATTAAAAAGCCCACAATTAGGATGTATTTGTCTAAAAATCCCATTTGCAATACCCCCATTTTTTCCCAGACAATGCATAGGGACAGATATGAGGACATACTGCAATTTATGCACTTTAGGGACAATACGAAGTGCCCCCCAAAAGGTCATCCACAGTCTGATCTTCTATATAAAATACGCCCTCTAATTGCCCACTTTAACGATAAATTTGCCAATATTTATACCCCCAAAAACTAATTTCTATCGATGAGGCCCTCATGAAGTGTAAGGGAACACTGGGGTATAGACAGTACATCCCATCCAAAATTTTATAAATTGTGTGAAAGTGGCAGTGGCTATGTGTACACCTTCCGTGTATACGAAGGAAGAGATAGCCACCTTGATCTCCCACGTTGCCCAGGTATAGTAGGGCCAAGAGGGAAAATTGTCTGGGACATAACGCCATTACTTAACTAATGTTATCATTTATATGTTGATAATTTTTATAATAGCATCCCACTTTTAAAAATGCTGTACTGCTTCGAGACCATGGCCTGTGGCACTATTTGGAAGAGTCACACAGGTTTCCCAAAGGCTCCAGTGGGAAAAAAAATAAAAAGTGGGGAAACAGCAGCTCTCTGCCAGAATGAACTGCTGGCACTCAAGTATCAAGATAAAAAGGAGATTTTCATCTTAACCACCATCCATGGTGAAAGCACTCGCAGGGTCGCAGTACGTGGCAGAGAGGAATTTAAATGGGTGCCAGTCTGCATACAGCATTATAATCGGCATATGGGGGGGAGTTGACCTGTCCGATCAACTGATGCAGCTGTATTTGATCCTGCGAAAGACCAGGGCATGGTATAAAAAAGTGGGCATATATATATATAATGCAGACGGCAATCCACAATGCCTTTGTAATTTTTAAAAAGGAAAATGCTGAGCTGAAATGCACATTTCTCTCATTTCAGTTCCAGGATTGCTTGAGTGCCACAGAGGGGGACCATCAGTGGAGCCTAGCAGAAGAATGGAGGCAGGTCACTTCTGCTTCAGGATTCCACCAACCCCCAAAAAGAAAACCCCCCAGAAGAGGTGCAGGGTGTGTTACAAGAGTGCCCCTCTCAGCCCGGCCTATGTATTGGGCACTGTTTTAAAATTTCCACACCAAGGCCAAATAAGTAGACCAGTTTTGGGGTGTGATTTTAGTCATCTGTCTGATTGGTTACCGAATCTTGGCTTTGTCTCCCGTTTATCCTGTCTTCTCTGATCCTTGACCTCAGCTTGTCCTATCGTTGTTCCGTTTCTCTTTACTCCTTTGACCTCGGCTTGTACCTTGACTATTATCTGCTTGTATAGCCCGGCCATTCTAAGAGCTGGTATTACAAGTTTATCTCTCTGTGTTCTCTCTCTTTGTGGTCTGCCTGTGTTTTGGTTTTGGAATCCATGACAGCTTTGCCCGGGACGCAGATGACGGTATACTACCCCCTGATAAGTTTACGCCACCTATTCCCCCTTTCACAGCAAATAGTATGCACTTGTTCATAATTTCAATTGAAGAGCTGCTTATATTTAAAAATAGATGTGGCCTTTGAGAGGTAATTTACAATCCTGAGCTTCTAAAATGAGACTTGGGCCCAGCATCCACTTTTGAAAAATATGACAGTGGTGTGCCTCCAATGTGCCCCTTTAACATCCACTTATCCCTGAAAAAGGTACACATAGGAGTATTGTTGTACTAAGACGACATAGCTTAGCAACATATTAGGTGTTATACTGCCGTAGCACACATAAGAATTGCAAAATATACAGTAACATGGGTGTGTCAAAAAAAAAAGAAAAAATGTTAATTGCTACTAGACTTGGTACAAACTAGCAAAAAAATGATCCTACGCTAAGGTTTAAATTATGTCTTTTGAAATACCATGGGGTGTCTACTTTAAGAAATGGTAGGCCTTTGTGGTTTTTTGAACAGCCAAACTACTATAGCGCCCCAAATTGAAGCATAGGCCCATTAAATCCGTCTTTCAAAATTCTACTGTAAATACTGAAATGGACAGGTCTCGTATATGGCACTGTAGCTTCACGAAATAGTGCCAAAGACATTCATTGGGGGTATCGTTGTTCTCAGAAGACTTAGCTGAGCATAATTTTGGGGCTTTGAACGTTCAACCCAATTAAGAAACTAAGACTCTTTAAAGGGACATGCATCCCCCTGAGGCAACTTTAGCTTTTAATGAGACAGTTGCCTTACTCTGCAGACTGACAAAAGCAGGTACATATGATTTTTACTGCCTCTGAGCATGACATATAAGCAATTTATAGATTTTAAATCATCTGGAAAGCTAAACCAACAATACTAAATTGAGACCTAAATTATTTACCAAGTGATTGCAGTTTCCGCCTTCCTTTGTTTTCTTCTAATATATATTCACTAATAGTAAACAATATTTCATCATGTATCTGTACCTCTGTGTGTATATGTATAAGTGCTATTAACAATATATTTGCATTTGTGAGAGCAACTGAAAAGGCTTTATTTTTTGAGTGGCCTGCCTACTATCTCTGCTAATCCCTCCTTCAATATGACTGATATATACCACAGTTATATTCACATGAATAAATGGATAACATTGAATCATAAACAAGAAAATACAGAGTCAGCTCGATATCAGACAAATGTTTACCTGAAAGGGTACATCTGCCATAGTTTTAGCTAGGTAATATGCCTTCAGACTGTACCAGTAGTTCAGATGTTCTCTGAGGAATACTCCCATTTCTAGTGGAACTGTTAACAAAGAAAATAGAGCAAATTAGGTTTGTGAAAAGTTTATGGTTACATTATTGGAGACATGTACAGCCACTAATATTATAAAGTTAAACAGTTTTGTAATTGTTTTTATGATATTTTTCTGTAAACATTTCTTCGAAATGGACCACATAGTTTTTTTTGCAATTTTATGGATTTATGAATCAGGATGCTTAGATTGAGTGTGTACAAGAGGTAGATCCCAATATGATGTGGAATTACAGCTGCCCTGATACTTTGCCATTATTTGGAATAGACAAAACATTATTGAAATCCAGTTTTAAAACATTTGGTGATCTACCTCTTAGGACCTTAATTTAGATTTTCTTTCCCTATAATAAATCGTAGTGTTGCCTTCTGTGTGTGAGTCACAAGCGCACATTCCTAATAAAAACTTTAGTTAAAATGAATACATTGGTATTGGAGTTAGATATATGGTACTCCTACATTCTGAGTATTCTATATAATACCTACATGTTAGGACAGTCGGCATTAGAGCAGCAAACATTAAGAAGAGCATGGAAAAGAAGAGGAATCCAGAATTACTGAGGACCTTCTTAGCTTCATTCCCAATGCCTAGGTATAATAATCCAATCAGGATTCCAATCCCAATATGTGACATGATCCGTAAATGGGTGAGCACCTAAAAAAAAAGAAAAACAATGTAAAACAGTATGTTATTATTATATACTGACCAAACAGAGATACAGCTAACCTAGCTTGCAGCTAATGACATTTGAAAATTTTTAGCTTTTTAAAAAACAATTGGTGGGTAATTGGTAGTTCCTTATCTAGTATAGAGTCCTGTAATAGGATGTTCCAGTACTTTTTGAACACTAGTTTAATTTTTGTATGTTGACAATTAAATTGTGTGATAAACAGAAATTAAAAAGCTTCATTGTTGTAATTTTTAACCTCTCTAGATTTTTTTTCCTACCTAATAACTTTTGCTATTATATTCCAGTCTTACTTTTTTCCACTAGTATTTTTATTTTTAATTTAGATTGTTCCTCAAAATCTGAATATTTTAAAGAGGATTTTTTATAAAAGTGCAATAAAATATTTTTTTTGTGTGGAATGGAGAACGTTCTGCACCATCTTTTGTATAGTTTATTTTTAGTGTGACATCTGTCCATACTGATTTGATCCATACTGATTTGAGCCTTACAAGATGATTTGAGATCTATCTATATGCTTGTTCCACTCAGTGGTTTGTGAGTACAATATATTACTCAGATTGGGCTTTATCACCTAAGCAGTTATATACTATGTGGTTTTGTCTTTGTTACTTTTTAAGTTGGGTGTATTTAAAAAAATAATTTGTATATATTTGCTATATCAGGAGTGGGGAATCCCATGAGAAGTGAATCATTAATTGTGCTAAGTATCCAGATTCCTGCATATGTTTAGTGTTAAGGCTTGTTTTGTGTGGATAATATATAACAGAATCACATGTAAAAAAAGATTTATTGGTTTGTGTTGTTTTTATTTTTGTCTTTTTAATAATTCTATTCCATTGTAATTCAAATTGGGAAAAAAAATTAGCAAAAGTGAATGGTATGTGAAAAATGCAGTAACGATTGTTACATCTAATTTTCGTTATTTGCATCTTAACCATTCATCACAAAGATAGTGAAAATATTTGCACTTCTGTGATAAATACTGACTAAAACAAAACTGTGTCAATTAAAAAAGTATCACTTTTAGCCAAATAGCAGGTTATTAAAAGAGCACATTGCATTCTGTTTTAATGTAAATTACATTTAAATAAAAAAAGAAATATAACAAAGATATTTAAAACTGCTACAGCAGTCATGGCCAATCTTTGGAATGCTAATGTAAAACTAACAGTGAAAATGGTAGAGTTCAATCACTCCTACTCCTCCCTGACTGCAGGAATGATATGACCCATTGAAACGTCCTGTACTGTTTGAAAGCAGGGGTAAATCTGACTTTTTTTTTTTTAGCAATTTTGCAGGCATAATGCCAATAATTAGTGGATTTTATAAAATACATTAATTCCTCTACAGGCTGGTAATCATTCATATAGTACAAATGAAGGTGAGTGAAGCTGTATGTACAAAATTTCATACTGCAAAATACAGGATAATAAAACATGTATAATGGATTCTAGTAGTAAAGTGGTTTAACATTCCACTGTGTACAAACAACCTGCTGTAATATGGTGGCATTTCTTACAGAATACGGGACATTTCCAGGAGTAAATGTCTGAATATATGAATATTATAGGACACCATTATATATTAGACATGGAAAAATGTAATTCACTTTTTAATGGAATTCTCTGCTACATACAAATGGGGAATTCGGAGGTAGCCCACACATTGTATATTATTATAGTATTATTAATAATATTGCTTAACTAGTTACTTAACTGGTGTTGGACAGTCATACATGTCACATGCCATATGTTCTTTTTTGCAGTGATTTACTGCATGCTATAGTACATATTTTATGATTTATCACATAATTAGTCATATGCTGCCTCTTCCTTTTCATTTGCCCACTTTTAAGATATCCATCCATCCATCCCATCATTTTTTTTATTTTATTTTTTGCAGTAATGTGCAGACAATCAATGTAATTTAACTTCCTGGTTTGATGAGCGCTCACTACAGACTCTACAGACATATTTGTATATTTTTAATGTGTTATCTACTAAGGAATTAAAAATAAATTAAAGTTAAAGCTAGCCTGGATTGTTCCTTAAAAACAAGCTTGCATTGCCATGGGACAGAATACATTTTGTCTTATCTTTAGAACAGTATGGGTAATGTGACTTACCGAGTCCCTCATAATACTGAGGCATGTCCTCTTAAACAGGATACAGAACTGAGTCAGGCAACTGGCAGAAAAACTATGGCAGCCTTCAGTGGGTGAGGAGTCCTGAAAGTAATATACGCACAGTTATGTGGCATGATTCTTTTTATTTAGAATCATCACAGAAAAATGGACACCATTTAAACTCCAGTTTACGTAATTAGTTTGAGAAAATTGTACAAATTCAAAATTACATCAGAGATGAACTCTGTCAGGCAAATAGATGATGTGTTCTATCAGAATATGTAGAAACAAACTATATATAAATTATTCAGTATTTGACATATGGGCATGGAAGGTTGTCCACTCTGTGCCCCACAATGCTTACAATTTCCACCATTCCCTGAGTTACAGAATAACGTTTATTTTTGTGCAGAATGAGTAGGCAACGGATTGATTTACCTCATCAGATGGCTTATGCCACATGAAAGGGTTTAACTCGTCTCCACAATGGTCCATCTTTTGTTCTGTTTCAGGCACGTGATCTTGTACGGCTCGGACAAGACGTGGATTCTGTTCTCCGTATTCCCCAGAGGCAACTTCCATTACTGGAAAATATCATAAACTGTATCAGTTCTGGGTAACAAAGTTACCGTGATGATGTATCGCTACTCTATAACTTATCAAATGATATGCAGAGGTACATACAATCATGTCAGGTCTAACAGGCCTAACCTCAATATCTGAGGATTAAGGGGTAATTATTTCTGATGACTTAAAGGTAGGCAGACAATGTAATAGAGCAGCAGGAAATGCTAGCAGGATGCTTGGTTGTATAGGGAGAGGTATTAGCAGAAGAAAGAAGGAAGTGCTCATGCCATTGTACAGAACACTGGTGAGACCTCATTTGGAGTATTGTATGCAGTACCATATCTCCAGAAGGATATTGATACTTTAGAGAGAGTTCAGAGAAGGGCTACTAAACTGGTTCATGGATTGCAGGATAAAACTTACAAGGAAAGGTTAAAGGAACTTAACATGTATAGCTTGGAGGAAAGACGAGACAGTAGGGATATGGTATAAACATTTAAATACATAAAGGGAATCAACACAGTAAAGGAGGAGACTATATTTAAAAGAAGAAAAACTACAACAAAAAGAGGACATAGTCTAAAATTAGAGGGGCAAAGGTTTAAAAATATCAGGAAGTATTACTTTACTGAGAGGGTAGTGGATAAATGGAATAGCCTTCCAGCTGAAGTGGTAGAGGTTAACACAGTGTGGGAGTTTAAGAATGCGTGGGATAGGCATAGGGCTATCCTAACTATAAGATAAGGTCAGGGACTAATGAAAGTATTTAGAAAATTGGGCAGACTAGATGGGCCGAATAGTTCTTATCTGCCATCACATTCTGTGTGTCTATGTTTCTACATTTCTAACACATTTTGGAAAATAAACAGCTGATATAGTAAAGGCATTGTGGGATGAAAGACTATTTCTTTTCACATTTAATTGTTCCACAGGTAAATTAGCATAACTACAAAAGACGTTATGGGGTGTAGCTCGAATAGGATTGAGTTATGGAAGTTGTACGAAAATATTTGTTCCTTATTCTTTAATTAAAATTATGATGAAGTTGACCCTTGCAAGGAGAATTATCGCCATAGAGAAAATATGGCCCCAATTTAATACGTTTTCCAAATGATTCAATATAGTGAGAAAAACGTTCCAAACAATTTATCTAAGTCACCATGAAAATCGACGGGAATGTTTGTAGACAAATCAGCTTCAATTATTTGCTAACTGTATTGCATCAATTGGAAAGCGTATTAAATCGAGATCTATGTTTGATATGCTACAGTATGTGACACGTGTTTCTACATAACCAAATGTTACTGGTTGGTAATAAATACCTTTTTTTGTTTAATTTCCAACGGCTGATTTTGATCACATGATTCCCTTTCCTGCTGCCTCTCCCTTTATAAATATTCCCTATCCAAATATGTATCACTACACTCTTATGCAAATCCAAGACTATCTGAATACAGTTTCATCCAATGGGAATACCTGAAATAAAGCGAAATGTCAAGCTCCAAGGTTGCCTAGAGACAGTTTTACCGTGCCGGGGCTATTCTTGTTAAAACCACACAGAGAGTAACAACTGGTTTGCTGATGGTTTTGCTAATTTAGCATTCACAGCTAGACTGGATGCTTCCTATTTGCTGTACTTTCTCCATAGCAGCATTAACCACATGAGAAAACAAAATTAACTGATCAGAAAACAAGGTTATAAAAGAGCTGTTCGGTGTCTCTTAGGACATTACTATTTGGGTGTTAGTCTCCACCTCCCTAGCAGCTATAGAGAGGGCAGGAGGGAGCAGCAGAGCAGTAAGTGTGTTGTGTCATTGGTACTTGGGGTATAGATATATACCAATAAGGGGGAAATTTATATTGGGGCAACAAAAAGCCAATGTCTGTGTTTAGATATTGGGGGTTTTATTTATTGAGGTTTGGGCACTTAGCCTTTTCACTTTCTGTCTAGCACTTGAGCAATCAATGTCCAGTCATCCAAGCACGTACGTCAAGGTTACTTCAATACCAGAAACTTTTTTTTATAAAAAGCTTAAAAAATTTACAAGCCTTACAATCGGGTCCTGTAATATTCTAGTAAAACTACATATCGTAATGTTACAAGTAAATACAGAAATCCTGCACTGAGCAGTTTAACCAGCAGAGGGTGAGCTGACTCCATAGATCAAGGTTTGGCAAACAAGCACTGCAGTTCTCATCTTAGTTTCCCATGATTCCGAGACAGCCATGACAAACAATGTTTTGCAGAGAAGACTGCAGTGGGGCTGCAGTGCCAAAGGTAATATCTTTCTACCACTGATATCACAATGGTAGCTTTTGCTTTACACCGAGAGATATTCTATATTAGCAAGGTATAGAATATATTACTTAACGAGAAATGAAATGTATAGGAGTGAATAAAAATTAAAGGACTAACAATGATGTAAATAATGGGGATAATAAAGAAAACAAAATAATAATGTATGAGTTATTATACACCATCTTACTATAGTTGCTCTGATTTGCCCTGAAACAATGTTTTTGTGACTATGCATTGCAGGGGGCATTTTAAACCTTAATTAAATGGACACTACAGGTACCAAAACAACTTTAGTTTAACAAAGTAGTTTTGGTGTATAGATCATGCCCCTGTAGTCTCACTGCTCAATTCTCTTCCATTTAGGAGTTAAATCACTTTGCAGCCCTAAGCACTCCTCCCTTCATTTTACTTGCAGTCTTCTTAAGAAATCTAATGTTTAAACTTCCTTTATTGCACCTTCTGTTTAATTTAGAATACATCTCCTGCTCTGTTTATTGCCTCTTAGATTATAAAAACTCCCAAAGCAAGCTAACATCTAATTAAAAATGTAACTACTGTGTCATGAAGGCTGTGTGAGTTACAGCAATATGAGGTTTGGCTAGGGCTTCATAAACAGAAACAAAAGTGATTTAAATGGATACTATAGTCACCAAAACAATGTTAGCTTAATGAAGCAGTTAAAGTGTATAACTCATGCCCATGCAGTCTCACTGCTAAATTGTCTGCCGTTTTTGAGTGAAAATATAGGCACACCTCCCTGCATGTGACTTACACAGCCTTCCTAAACACTTCCTGTAAAGAGTTCACTAATGTTTACACTAACTTTATTGCAAATTCTGTTTAATTTAGAATTTCTTATCTCCTGCTCTGTTAATAGCTTGCTGTACCATGTGAGAGCCTTCAAAATGTTAAATGTTAAAATGTTAAAAAAGTAAAATTTACGTATCAAGAGATAAAAACGTGCAAAGTAAGTTACATCTGATTGAAAATTAAACCATTTTGTTTCCATGCAGGCTGTTTCAGTCACAGCCAGGGGAGGTGTGACTAGGGCTGCATAAACAAAGGGATTTAACTCCTAAATGGCAGAGAATTGAGAAGTGAGACTTCAGAGGCATGGTCTATACACCAAACCTGCTTCATTAAGCTAAACTTGTGTTGATGCCCATAGTGTCCCTTTAATTAAACGTAATCTGTCCCTTTAGGGGCACAATCTAGACGTAGTTTCCAGATAGAAAGGAGACCGGTACTCCTTTCTATTCTTAACATTTCTGTCTAAAAGATAATCACAGTGATACAGCAGCTATCTAAATTTGACATATACAGAGATTAAAAAATACATATTATTCAAATAGCGCTAATACTTTGCTGTTTTTATCTACATTTTGTAGTTTCCAGATATGTGATGATCCCAAGTTTCACAAAGAATAATTATGCAGAACATGCTTTACCTATGAAAAGTCACATCTCACAGGCAGTGTGCAGAGAATGTAATGCCCATAATTTTTTATTATACACATGTATATAGCGCTACCATATTCCGCAGCTCATTACAAATATAATTTTACAATTGACATGCAGAGACAAGAGGTGAAGAAGGCCCTGTCTAAACAAACTTACACTCTATAAAGGTTTGAAGTATGTGGATATATATCATTAGGTGTTTTGCCCAGGGACACTGACTGGTGGGGTGCTGTGACCCAGATTTTATCTCCTGGTTCTAAAGCAGTGATGTGACCACTGACAGCCAATAAACCAACAAGGTTATCCATAAATAAAAAAAATCAGGTAATCAACACAACAAAACCTCCCTTAAAGTCACTTCTCATTATCCTACAATGCTGGATTATTTAAATGATTTACAATTTGTCTGCATTTTTCACCAATACTCCCTGCTTTTCGATACAAGTTCATCACAATATTTTTTGAAGTTGGAGAGGCGGCTTTTATCTTTTATCTTATAATGTGGTAGACACTGGCATTTCTTACAGAATGCATAGGATTTATTTAATATAGGTTATTTAATGTTCCGAGATATTTTGCAAACAATCACAGATGGTGACACCAATGTACCAAGGGTACAGTTCCAAAAATATCAGAAAACTAAATATTGCCTCCAGATTGTGCACGCTATCTACTATTTGCAACGACCCCAGATGTCTTTTAGTAAACATTCTTCAACAAATACATAAATATTATAAAGCGAAGTATTTCTCCAATCTAAAATAGTCCAAAAATAAGGACCAAGAGGTAGCTTTAGATAGGCACGGTACTCACTGAAATCTGCGGGATTATGGTATGTTGGGCAGTTTAATCCCAAGAACCGTAGGTAAGGGACGAGATTCGACACTTTCCCACGGTAGATGCATTGTCCTTGGCTTAAAACATAAAGCTGTTTGAAAAGGCAGAACAAGAAAGGAATTTTAGAGAGGGAAATATTATACCTGTGCTGGCGTTACATGAAAACAATTATAACATTAAAATTGTTTGGGTGAATTAACCATTTCGTTGCTGTCAGATACCTGAGCACTTGATTATTTTATTATTTTCAGATCAATATTCATTTTCAAGGGACATATAGAACCCCACTATGTGTATGGTGTGTGCTTTTTCAATACATTAATATGATACATATTAGAACATAATAATTTACAAGTGTATATTTAAATACATAGCAGACTTCACATGTTTCATTTGAACAAACATTATATCTTCTAAGTTTAAACATACCCTTACTGCATGTTATAATTATACCATGTTTTAATTGTCTATTTATTTCTGTGCTACAGAGCTTAATTTATTCAGTGCTGTATGCTATTAAAGGGTTATGCAAGAACAGATAAAACTTGTAGTTAATGATTCAGTGTTTTACATACAGTCCAAATTTTGTCATTTTCTAAATTATTTTAATTTTTTTTGCATATAAAAAAAAACCTTATTTTTAAGTCAGTCTGTATGTTTTTCTTTTCTAATTAATCCAATTTTTAAGATAGGGATGTTTGTTTATATCCCTGTTTTCTAACTGTCTTGTAAAACAATAATTCTTTTAGTACATAAGCTTTGCTTTTTTTGATTCAACCTAAGGAAATCACGTGACAAACAGCTCCCGTGTCAAATACTTTTACCATGGTTCTACCGTCCTCTATAAGCATTGGACCCCCTATATGGCCAGTTGGGGGAAAAAAAGATGCTGTCATTAAATCTTTATGCAGGCTCCTTCATTACAAACGAGAAGGCACTTTTGGCCAAAGCACTTTGAACTATGTTGAACGGCTATTACTAAGTATTAGAAATTACAGACAAACCTCTAAGTCCTAATTTCCTTGAAAATTACTACAACAACTACAATTAATTATTTCTATAGTGCCAACATATTCTTCAGTGCTGACCTGAACAACATAAGACATTATTATCGTCTTCCAGTTTCCATTTGCAGTGGGCCTCCTATGATGCCTATTTCTCGATATTTAGCCATGGCAGTGACAAGTGGGGTATAGACAGGTGCCCTTTGCAAATAAAAAAGAATAAAAATTGGTGTATCTTTAAAACTACCCTTCTTCTACTTGCTTTCTGTATCCAAATTGTGCAAAAAAATCTAAAAAAAATGGTTAAAACTAATCTTTTTTTTTCTTTCGCTCATGTTCTCAAGTAGTGATGTCCCGAACGGTTCACCGAACGGTTCGCGAACGGTTCGCCACGAACGGTTTGCCACGGACTCATCATTGAGTAAACTTTGACCCTGTACCTCACAGTCAGCAGACACATTCCAGCCAATCAGCAGCAGACCCTCCCTCCCAGACCCTCCCACCTCCTGGACAGCTCACTAAGAATGCAGCTTCACAATGGATGCTGTCCAGGAGGTGGGAGGGTCTGGGAGGGAGGGTCTGCTGCTGATTGGCTGGAATGTGTCTGCTGACTGTGAGGTACAGGGTCAAAGTTTACTCAATGATGAGTCCGTGGCGAAACGTTCGCGGCGAACCGTTCGGCGAACCGTTCAGGACATCACTATTCTCAAATTAGTTCAAGAAACTCAAGTACAAATTATACGTAGAAGAACAAAACAAGGATATTATTATTTTATTATGCAATCTGCGCCACCCCCCGGCCAATTAACATAGCAGATATTCTCTTTCACATTAACATGATATTTATTTTTATATACTTGGAAAGAACTGAAGGAAATACTGACCTGATCGAATAATTCAAACAATTTGGCACTGGGTTGATGAATAGTACAGATGATATTTCTGCCTCCTTGGGCCAATGATTTCATCAAGGAAACCACCTGGAAACAAGACGAGCTGTCCAAGCCACTGAAGGAGGGATACGAGCCTGCTGTTAGTAGGAACTTCTCTAAACAATTGAGCTAGAACTTCATAACTTGCATCTGAAGAAATCCCAGACTACTTGGAAATCAAATCTATGTCACTAAATGTTCCACAGAGCTACTATTGAACTTACTATCTAGATGGCTTGGAGTCTCATGGACAATTAGTAATCTGTTAGAATGAATGCCTGGTTTATTGCCCATTTTTTGGACATAGTTATTATCAAAGTCCACACTGTTGACAATCTTACCAAATTGTTGAAAAAAGCAGCTGAATCTCATAGAATTGGGGATATTTAAAGCTTGCACATGACCTTGATTAATTTTGGTCTGGACTGCAATTCGTCTGAATTTGGGAAGATCAAGTGTTTGGACGAATTTCCGAACTCTGAGCCGAAATGTAGCTGAATCCCAAACCAAACCGAAATGCTCATTGGCTGAGCATGTTTGTTTTGATTTGTCGAGCCAACAATAGATATGATTGTTTGGGAAATAATGATAATTGATGGCTTGGGGACAGTCACTAAATGTTGATTTTATTCTCAGATGAAGTGACAAGTGATCAACAGCAGGAAAGATAGGAGGAGCAATTAAACAAATCGCTAATTACATAACATATGTTTAATAAATATATCATATACAAATGTATACTTTTTCTCACTTGATCAGTGAACAAAAAAAGGTGGGAAAATGCTTCTACCCATGTAATGGAAAATATATACATAATAATTATATTATCTATAGATTTTGCGGTCCGCTGATTTTCTTAAACTTTTGCTGTCCCTCCTCCCCCCCAAAAAAATATTTTCAGGAATACATAATTCAGTAGAACCAAATGTTCTCATTGTGCACATATCTTGCTAAAAATGAGAGTGAGGGACTTTACCCTACTGATGTCACTGCATATTGCACATGTTGTAAATTTAGACTGTGTTGTTTATCATAACTTTGAATTGTAACTTACCTTGTTGGTTCATCAAAGAACATAACTGGGGGATTATTGACTAACTCCAAAGCAATTGCGAGACGCTTTCTTTGACCCCCAGAAAGACACCCGGTCCTTGTGTCAGCGCATGGCAACAAGCCCAGTGCTGTTAAGATCTCCTTAACCTGAAGCAAGGAAAACAATATATCTATCTGTAGAAATGTCTAACATGTACTGGTAAAATATGTTTCATACAGCATAAATATCAGAAATAACATTATGGGACATTACATGCAGCTCTATGTGTGTGCTTGTGTAGTGTATATGGATCCTAGTGTGTAGGGTATGTAGTGTGTGTATATGAGATGAAGTGTGCTTGTGTCGTGTGTGTGTGTGTGTGTAAAGGATGCATCGTGTGGTTTCTGTGTTTGTTTGTGAGTGTAAGGGATGCAATATTTGCTTCTGTGTCTAAATGTAAGGGATGCATTATGTGTTTCTGTGTGTGTAAGGGATGCATTGTTCAGTTCTGTTTGTGTTTCTGTGTAAGGGATGCAGTGTGTGTATGTGTAACGGACACATTGTGTATTTCTGTGTGTGTGTAAGGGATGCACTGTGTGTTTCTGTGTGCGTGTGTGCGTGTGTGTTTGCTTCTGTGTACGTGTATGGTATGCATTGTGTGTTTGTGTGTGTGTGTGTGAAGGATGCATTGTATGTTTGTAAGAGATGTAGTGTGTGTGTTTGTGTGTGTGTGTGTGTGTGTGTGTAAGGGATCCATTTTGTGTTTCTGTGTGTGTGTGGGATGCATTGTGTCTTTCTGTATGTGTAGTGTGTGTAAGAGAGAGTTTGTGGAGTAGGGTAGCGTCTTAGTTTTGCAGGGTCAGTGAGGGGAGCAGCATGTTATTTTTTTTTACATTTTATTTTTTTAAGTGTAATTCCCCTCCCTTACCGTGTGTGCATGGGGCCCAGGCCACTGTGAACATAAGGCTAAGGTTCACTGGGCCCCGTGGTGTAGGGGGCCACTTACATGCGCAGGAATTTAAAAAATTTTTGGGCTATATAGTTGTAAGTTTTTCTTTTATATTGGCATCATATAATAAGTATGACATTTACCATTTCTCTTCTGCCTTCATCCTTTTCCTGGAGTTTTAGGTGCGCTGAAACCTATGATGCAATATTAAAGTAACACATTAATTGCCTGATAAAACCATTTATTGGTCCATAACACCCCTAAAGTTATACATTAAGACGCTCCTCAACTAAGAACAGATTTTTTGTGTGAAGATTATAAGAAAAATGGTGTCTCCCCTCTAAACAGTTTGCAATGCTTGCAAGGACAGGCTAACCATCCTCAAGCTTGTCTCTTTTTCCTTCTGCTCCATTGAACTATGAAAAGCATTTGAAAAAATATACAACTTTGACCCTGTAGCAGGGTTTACAAAAGTACCAAACCCCTAAAAGACAAATTAAGTGTTGGTGGGACGTTTGCATAAAGGGGGAAGGGCTTTGGCTATGAAAAGATGGCTTGTGCTGATCTAGATGAGGGACATTTTCTTCTGTAAAATGAAGACGCTGTAACGCAAATATTTCCTTATGGGGGTTGTAGATACTAGGGTGAAAAATTAGTTTCTAACCTTGACCTGATATTTTTTTAAGTTTATCACAGTAAGCTGCGGGTTATTGGGCACACTGACTAGTTAAGCTCTCTCACTCCAGTGACTGCACGCAACTCGCAGTAATTCTATATGGCTGAGTATATTTGGAGACCCATTATGTATGAATAACGTCAGCCCAAATAGTTTGGAAAAGACTCAAAATTCCCAGAGGTGAAGCACTGGGGGGGAGTATCGTCATACTGCACTCAAACAGAAATAATGAGATTCTGCGTTAAATATCGATAACTGTTTGTGTGTGTCTGGGAAATGTTACCACCTCCCCCCCCCTTTAAATTTAGACAAAAAAGCATACTGCAAGGCGATCATTTAACAGGCACAATCTCGGGTGAGGCTGCCATAAAATAATTATATGTTCACAGCTGCAATAAAAGTAATCATAATGAATGAACCACTTTAGTATAGGCTAAGCATGGAGAATTATTTAAAGAAACACTCCAATAACCATAACCACTGCATAGTTATTTACAGAGCCATCAAGTTAAAAAAAAACCCAGTTATAACTATTTCCATACTATATTAAACGCTGCCACTAAAATGTTTGATAGTCCCAGCCTCTCGCCATACACGTATTCTGTATCTGTCGGCTCATCATAGAAAATACTGAAATAGAGGCCTGCCCCCTTGGAGTTTGTTCACAAATATGTTAGAGTAACAAAATCTCAGCCAAAACAACACAGCAGCAAAAATCTCCTAAAATCTCCAACTCCCTAGTTTGACCTAAATTTTGCAATTCCATTTTCAATTCACTGTTAGTTTAATAAGAACTCTTGTTACGTTCTTCAGAAGAAAAAATACACTCTATCTTACTAACCAACAATAACTTTTATTGTGAAATACCCTGCAAGCCTTTTTTAGTTAGTATACTTATTTTTTCACGGAATAAAATAAAACAGCTAATTGATCAGGGAGTGTAAGACAAATTCATGTTCATTAGAATATACTTTAAGATTGGTCTAAAAGATTAAATATACTAGCACCGATCCTATATACATATCATTCAGTAAATTAACCAACTGAACTATCTCATTGGTTATATCAAGTGTATTGACATAAAATACAATATGACAATATGCCTTATTAAATGCTTTATTTAACTGGCAAAAAGGAATAGTAACTATTTCAGTCAGGTATCTAACTGCCCCCTATTAACATTTATTTATTAGGTAAGCAACACACTCATTGGCCGTACCATCATGGCCTCCTGGACCGTGAGATGAGGCAAGAGCATGTCATCTTGCATGATGTAACAGGATACTTTTCGGAATGTTCGCAAGTCACGAGGCTGCTCATTAATGAGAACTTCTCCCTTCATACCAGTCTCTCTGGAAGGTAAACACAATAAAATAGTTAAATACCCAGTGGGAGAACTCCTGTTCATCTAAGATAAGGCTCAAAAATGTAAGGCCAGAGTAGCGGGACAAAAAGTACAGCGGACTAAGAGAAGTTTTCCAGTTCAGCTGTTTTTACCTTAAGTTTGAAAGTCATTTTTTCAGAAAAATTTACTTTGAAGTCTCACTCTAGTAAATAGCAATGCATATGTCTTCTGTGTGCTTTCTATAAATGAGGGGTAAAGATATAAAAGTACAAGGCTAGTCACTCTATAGAGATATTGAACTGTGGATCATGTGTTGTCTTGCCCCCCGTGGTTAAAAACGTCCCATTCCTGACTGAAGCATGTCTTGTTGAAGTACAGTAGTGGTATCTGTTCATTCAGTATTTAACACGTACCTGTAACCTGCCAATATATTCATTAGCGTGGACTTCCCTGCTCCAGAAGGGCCCATGATTGCAACAAGCTCGCCACAGCTGAATTTTCCAGAGATTCCTTTCAGTAATGTTTTGTATCCTAAACAAGATGAAAATAATTAATATTCAACATGATGGGAAGGGGAAATAAAGTCATTATTTTCTGAGATAAGCAATCTAGACACAAAAAAAACCCAATGTAGACATTTTCAATAATAGCTAAATAACAGCAATTTCTTCCTGACTGCCATTGCAAAAAAAAAAAATAATAATAATGAAAAAAATAAACATAAAATTGCATTTCTAATGTTCAACAAAAGAAACAATGTAGACAAAATTACATGGCAAATCACAAAAGTAAAATACAGGAAAAATAATATAGCTGCTAAAATATTTCTATTCATAACCAACATTTTGTCATCTCCTACATGGACTGTATAAACCCCAAGCAGTTTAAAAAGTATTTAGGAGTACTTAAAGGAAGATTAAAGTCCAAAACATACGGGAAGTATAATAATCTTTAAGTTGTTTTTTGTATTTTCTGCGAACATAAAATAAATCTAAAGTTAACAAAAAAATGAGGTCTGCGTTTTATCCACATCTTGAATTCAACATAATGTGCAGACGGTGGATTTGAGGGCTCCCAACTGTTTTAAAACAATGGCTTTCGTGACATATTTATCTGGGTTTAGTGAATACTTATCTAGTCTATGTTTTTATTTCAAAGAATTATGTATCAAATCAACAGAGAAGCAGCTGATTAACCTCACACAAAACTCACTGCATTTTTAAATAGTAAGTGAAAGATCTATAGAGGGCTGACCACACCACAGCATTAATTCTCCACACTGAACATTCTACCTCGCAGTGCATTCAAAGATCATCTTGTTTTTGCTATCTGTTTTTGCCCATTATTGACTGAGTTGGGGCAATGTAGGTCACCGATCTTCCTGTACAATATCCATTAGCCACTACCCAAAAATACAGCAACTACAACAGGATTTAGCGGTAATCTGTGTTACGAAGAATGGCTCCCAGTCACAAAATGAAATGTAACAATTTATTTATAGTTATTAGTATGGTGACAGTGAAACATAACGAGATAAGGGCTGAAATAAGGGGTTTGGTCACAAAACATCATAAATGTCAAACCAAACAGCGAAATGTAGGCTAATAAAGTAAATTTTGAAACATTCTGTGTTCAATTCACTCCAATTCAAAATATATTAATTTAGCTCGGAATTGAACACAGGTCACAATGGAACAGACTTGAGCACAGAAAAAAAATGGTTTGTAAACCTTTTAAAATTTGTAAGTCTTTGTAAAGTTGTTAATTAGTTTATGATCTACTATATCTGTTTGGATAAAATTACGCTACTACTACAAAGAACTCATGAAAAATTAATAAAGATTTATCAATAAAAAATTATTGGTTTGGCTTAATTGATACTGATGAAAATGTAAATTTTTCGGATCAGAAGAATACCAGAAGAAAATGCCAATTAAGCCCTAAAACTAAACCCTTTAATAAAAAACAAAACTCTCAAACTATAAATTAGTGATTCAAAGTTAGTGCTATGTGGCAAAGGCTACTAGGATTCGGCACGGCAAACCAAATTCTGAATCAACTAAGATATCTCACTTATTGTGTACAGTTTGGATTTCAAAAATGTTGCCGAACACAAAATCAGTCCTAATTTAAATGATTTCTGATTCGGGCTGAACTGCAACTCCAAATCTAATTGCAAATAGATAGGAAGTAACATTTCTTTTTAAAAGGTCATTCAATAATGTGTGAATTTTCAGGAGCTCAAAGTGATTTCAAAACTAATTTCACATTTTAGTCCACAAGGGCTGGAAAGGAAACATTCTCCAAGACATTTATGTTTTCAATTTGGCTATGTTGGTCTAATATTTGAAATTTACTTTGAATCCCCTTTTAAATTCCAAACAATTCAAACTGTATTAAATAGCACAGTTAGTGAATAAACACCAAGTGTAATTATAGAAAAATCTGCCCCTTCCTAACACAGTCACAGGTTTAAATAAAAGATATCTTGACATATAAAATCAAGGATTTGAAACAAAAGGTTTGGTAAGAATCTGGTATTTTTTTTTTGTAATCAAACAAAAAAACAACAGATTTTTAATGAAAAAGCCACGAGTCACTGGGATATCAACACATAAATAATTAAAGCTACTTTGAACACCGATTGGCGCTTGCTTGTCTAGAAAGAACTGAAGAACAGCTACAATATTTATAGGCGTTTATGGCAGTTTAATCCATAAACAGACAGAAAATGGGTAATGATAAGTTAGCTACTAGAAATAGCAAGTGTAAAACCCAATGCTTACTTTTATTTATCAATGGATTTTTCACGGAATCTACAAAGCACAAGTAATCGTTCACCTGAGAGTGCGAGGGTTCCTAAAAAATTCGGAGATTTTGAAAGATGGATGAAATCAAAATGTCCTTCCAAACTAATTCAGAGATACAGCTAAATGTATTGTACATGGCTTGTAGACATTTAAAGAGACTCTCCATGCACCATAATCACTGCAGCACACGGTAGTAAATATGGTGCCAGGAGGGGTGTGTTATGGTCTGAGTGTGTAGCTCTACGGAGGCCTTCGCCACTCCTAAGTGGCCTACAAGGCCTGTGAGATCTGCGTGGAGCATGGCCGTATTTGCCTATAGTTTTTTCTGGAGGTCACCTAGCATCTCTCTAAGCATCGCTGCGGTCACAGGCTTGGAGACACCGGTCTGTGGGTCTGTCTCTTGTTGTGGTGGATGTCATACCTCCAGTGCTTCAATCCAGAATCGTTCCTCTGAGGAGTCAACCGAATGTTGTATATACAACTGAATGTTGTATAAGTCTACAAGTATTTCTCCATTTTGGGCCTGTACGCGCCACGTGCCCACTGAAGAAAATCTCCGATATTCATACCGGGCCTGGGCTTATCCTGCTTCTGCAGTTTTGTTTTTCGGCACATATTGGTAGATAGCCTGGGTATTACTTTTTCCCATCTCTGGTGCTGTTTTAGCGCTTGTATGCTCGGAGCCCATTGATCGAGCGTCTGTTTAGGTCAGTCGCTACGCTCTGGTCTCATAAAAATGTTTTATCTCCACATCTATACTCACACTCTTTCTGTACAAGTTTAATATATTAAAACAAAATGTGAATCAGAAAATAAAATAAATTAAAACAAAATGTGAATCAGAAAATAAAATAAAATATTAAAATGAAAAAAAGAAAATAAAGTCATGAAAATTTACACAATTTGCATGTTTCATTTTCATTCAAGCAATCAATACACAGAGTATGTTCTCATATTTTAATGTGTTATTCATCCCAGATTTCAAATACATATTATGCATTTTTTAATAACTTTGCAGTGAAAGGTTTTATGTGCTAGTTGTTATAATGTTTCAGTTAACTTTTTAATCTTTTAACTATATATGTAAAGGCGGAGCCTGGAGTTGTGGGAGTGGCTAGTGCAGATAAAATAACTTCCCTAGTATCTCCAGACTCCGCCTGTGTATCGCACAGTTCGTGTTCCAGCGTTGCTGTGGGTCCTTCATTTCTGGGTTAAACCAGTGTCTGTTAACAAGGTCTGTCTTCCTGCATAACACTGAGTTGACAGACGGGTGCCTCAAGCACCAATTTGACATAGTTAGACCCCCCACGAACATAGCGGCAGACATGTGCACTTAATTTCATTCTGAATGTAAATTCGGATGAATTTCGTGAAATTCGGATGCTTACGAATGTCCAAAGTTCGAATAGCCAATTTTCCTAACTGCTGAACCGAACTGATTTGCGGAAGTCCTGAATTGCCAAAGTTCCAAATTGTCGAAGTTCCGAATTGCCGAAGTTCCGAAGTAGGTTACGGTTAGGGGTAGGTTAGGGTTTAGGGGTAGGGTTAAGGGTTAGGGTCCGAAGTGCCGAATTGCCGAAGTGCCGAATTGCCGAAGTGCCGAATTGCCGAAGTCCTGCATTTCTTAAGTGCCGAACCGAACCCAATGCCAGTGGTCCGAATTGCCAAAGCAAACAAATATTTTCACTTATCCGAATTTCCGAACCTAACAGAATATTTGGCCCATGCACATCCCTACTGCGGCCACAATTGGATAGATTTCAAACAATGCTGAAGTCAGATTAAAGGCTTCCAATGCTTCGGTTTCGGGAGGCCAAAAGCCCCACAGCCATTGGTCACCACAAACAGCTGCAAAGCCAGTGGAAGCCGCTGAATCCCACCAGAGCATTGTGGAACTATCATAAATAGGGGGGATGAACATAGATTTCCTATTACACTGACATAGGAATTTCTGCCACTCCTGGTCTGGCCAAACTGTACAATGTTTTTCTGACAATAAGGCAGCATGTCATATCATTAATAAAGGCCGTTCCCCTTCTCTCATTATCATGAGATTCGTTTGACGCTTGACTTGGTAAGCAGCAACTCATCAATTCTTTATCTTGTGTATACATGTTCAGGGTATGCATAACACGGCAGCTGACCATATATCTCGCTTACGTTTTCAGAAATTCCTCCAGCTATACCCCAGTGCCTCACCAATAGCAATTTCGGCCCCTTTCAAGACCTAATCATGGATTAGGCCAACTACTGATGCATGGCAGAGTACTGTCACAATGTGCTCTATCTGACAACACAAGACGGTCATACAAAAGAGCTTTCAATATTTTCATTAGATTTACTAAGGAATTTAATGTGGTAGACATTTTCTCCATGGAATCTTTGGTGGCCTTCACTTCCTTTTGTCACCTTAAATTGCAACTATCTTATAACACAATTAGACATTATAGCACAGGGTTACAACATCACATGCTTTCACTATATCCAAACATCCAAACAAAGAAACTTTATTATCCTCATCTCAAATTAAAACAATATTAAAGGGAATCCAGAGGTGCAGTACACAACAAACACATCAGAGGTTACCGATCAATGGGAGCTTATTCAGGTCTCTATAAGATATCTTGGACACTTCACCATTCAAACCCAAGACCAATGAAACTTTAAAAGCCTCCATATACTAACTTTTTATGGGTTCCTTAGACCTAGGGAATTCACTACCATTAACGCATCTGAATTAGGTTCATGCCTTAAAATATCACAAATCATTAAACATGAAGACCACTATGTACTTTCTCTTCAACACACCAAGACCAGTCAACCAGGTCAAATGGTAAAAATCCCTTATTACCCCACGTTCAATAAATGGTGCCCAGCACAGACATTAGATGTAAATCTAGGCCACTTACACTTACCTCCAAGTCAACCTTTACTTGCCTTACATGTGACAATTCTCACTATGAGCAAGTTCATGCTATATGTTAGAATTCTATTAATGAGATAAGGGTTCAACCCCATACACTATTCCGGACACTCCTTCAGGACAGGTGCTGCTTCTGCAGCCTACAATAGGATCATTCCTGCCCATATTATTAAATCATTGGGACGGTGGAAATCAACAGCCTACTGCCGATACATTCCTCAACCAGAAAGGAAATTAGACAAGCATACCAACACTTACCGTTTTAAGATTGTATGTTGTAATAATGTTGATGATTGCTGATTGAATAAATTATTTTTGCATGCATCCTTTTTGCCCACTTTATTTACCGATATGTCGGTTTCGGCACACCACAACCGAATGTTGTATATCTCTACATGTATGGTAAATGTATCAAGACCAAGATACAGCTTTTGTTGCCCCGTGCACAAATGTAAAGGCGTCGCCTGGGGTTGTGGGAGAGGCTAGTGCAGATAAAATAACTCCCCTAGCATCTCCAGACTCTGCCTGTGTATCGCACAGCTCGTGTCCCTCCCACCACTCCTCCTTTTATTTATTATTTTTTATTATTTTATTTTAATTACCTGCTTGGTGGGCCCACTTTATTTACAGGCCTACCGTTACTTCAGTTTCGGCACACCACAACAGAATGTTGTATATTTCTACATGTATGGTGAATGTATCAAGAACAAGATATGACTTTTGTTGCCCCGTGCACAAATATATGTACTTTTATTTTATTTTTTTTCAAAATACCTTTCTGTGTGTTTAACTAATATTATAAAATCTGAATCTCTGAGGAAAGATTGGTGAAATTCCTGATTCGTACTGCGACAACACAAACTATATAAACTCTGGCGCAGCATGTACCTAAGTACACCTGTCAAATCAATCATTCACTATTTTTGTATTAATAGTGAGTAAGGACAATTTCTTGTCAAACACTTCCAGATTGATGGCTATGACTGAAGAAGAGGTGGCTGTGTTAACGACAGTGTCAGTGACAAGAACGTGGAGAGAAGCAAAGTATTATGGGAAAACAGTTAAACTGCCTAAGGCAAACCATTCAGAAGGAGAACACCACTATTTCTAATGAGTTCCTTTATATATATAATATATATATATAATTCAATTTTTGAAGACTAAAGTAAAATTATGTACAGATGCTTTTCACTTACCGCCTGGGTTCCGTTCTTACGACCCAGTCATAAAACGAATTGGTCGATAAATGAGGCACATGCGCACCAGTGCAAGTCTATGTTCGGGGAAATTTCCCCGAACATAGACAAGCACAGCAGAGCAGGGAATCTCTCAAATCTATGTTCGGGGAAAATTCCCCAAACATGGACCAGCACTCTAACATGGGAAGCCCCATGTTAGAGAGCTGGTCGTAAGTGTTAGCCATCGCAAAACAGGTAGGTCACAAAGTGAGGACCTGTATACTGAAAAGGTGATAGTTGTGTGTCTGGTGAAATGCCCAAACCGTATGTAAAATATTGAGGGCGTGTGTTATGAGAATGTTTAAAAGACCACAAAAGGCATGCAGATCACTTCATCTCAATGCACTGGGTACATGGTTCCTTTAATTGAAGCCTTGCAATGTCAAACATGACTGCTTAGTAGGTACAGCAATGTTTCCATTGCATGGCTAAATGTGTCTCTAGTGGCTGACTTCCTAACTTGAGGGCATGTGTTATGAGAATGTTTAAAAGACCACAAAAGGCATGCAGATCACTTCATCTCAATGCACTGGGTGCGTGGTTCCTTTAATTGTAGCCTTGCAATGTCAAACATGACTGCTTAGTAGATACAGCAATGTTTCCATTGCATGGCTAAATGTGTCTCTAGAGGCTGTCTTCCTAACTTGGTCAGACTTGGTCAGGTAACCACGTCCTGAATGCTTCTCATAGAGAACAGTCAGTTAGGAGTCCAGTGTTCAGCTGGTGGTCCGGTGGGCTGTCTGTGGAATCTGCCCTCTGGCTGAGAAGACAACCTTTGGAATGTCACCTTCCAGTCTCTGATCGAGAGGGAGCACTTCCAGAGTACTGCTCTCAGCCAGAGTGCAGTGTGCAGAGCAACCAGCACAGCGAATGCAAGGAGATCTCTAGATCATTCTACTGACCCGTGCTGTGGGGGGATGGAGGTGGGAGGGTTGGGGGTTGAGCAGAGTGCAAACTTGAATTGTAGTGCTAGGTCTGCTATCATGAGCTCTGCTATGACAAATTTAATTTGCAACGGTTTAGATTGTGTATACGTATGGGTGCAAACCCTGGCAATCTGGTATATACAAGTGCCACATTAAAGGGGTTAAGGCGGAATTATTATTGTTGTTGTTATTATTATTATTGAAATGTTAGTTGCCCATATAAACCAGGGGAGATTTAGCAAATGAGGAACTTAATGGATTTATGTTTGCTAGGGGGTACCTTAGCGAGCCCCTAGCATAATATTAAACAGATCAGGGATTCCTAGTCCTCTGTTCATTATATCTTTATTGGCAGGGAGTGCCTTATTCCTCTTGCCTTAAAAACCTAAAAACATACCCATAAATATCCCTGCCCTTAACTTGGAAAAAGGAATGCCCTCTACTCACTATAAAAAAAGAGTAAACCCTTGGCATTCTAGAATGGCGAGCAATGCATTTTGTATTAATACCAAAGGGAGCAAAGGAATGTGCTGAATCTTCCCTCAATACACAAAGAATTTTGAAGAAACCGAAATCCGTTTTTAGTTTGAAAATTGTTCAATTCATTAGGGAATAAAAGAAAAGTAGGTCACTCATAACAGATTAGCTTTAAAAAAAAAGTTCACATTTTTTTATTACAGCTACAGTGTACAAAATAAAATTCAGTTCATTAACTAGAGCACGATACAATTTAACTACACCAGCCAGAGTTATATTGGCATAAAATTAGCAAATCCTTAGACAATGTCCCACAATTCCAGGTTTAGTAAATAACTTAATTTGTGCAGGAAATATTAACAGAAGATGTATAAATTAAAGGATATACATATTCTTCTAATTCAATCACTCTTACATACAATGTGCTGCCCCCCACCACAGGTAGTATGAAAATATCTTCCACAATGTCTTATACAGAGCCTTAAAAAGATTCATGGAAAGGGGTTTCCTCCAAGATGGCCTCCAGGGAAGATATATCATCTTTTATGCCCACTTATAAATGATGCGTGGGTTGTATTACACAATAGTGCTCTTATCCAGAAGCAAAGTGGCGAAGACTCAAAATGTGTCTGAAAAGTTATAATATACAGTAAGGGTTGTTTAGGATAATTTACGGGGCCGATGCTCCACATGAGGTTGTAAAGCCACTAGGCCAGGGGTTCTCAACCCAGTCCTCAAGGACCCCCTACTAGTCCACGATTTAAGGATTACCTGGGTGTGTCTACGGTGTTTAGAAAAAGACAAAAAAAAACCTTTTTTTTTCTTTTTCTAAACACCTTAGACACACCCAGGTAATCCCTAAATCCTGGACTTGCAGGGGGTCCTTGAGGACTGGGTTGAGAACCCTTGCACTAGGCCTTTATACTGCACTGAACAGGAAAATAGATGTTGTGGGAAAAGGAGACAGAGGCATTATGGGGCTAAGGTGTTTTTTTTTTCTTTTTCTAAACACCGTTTCTTTTTCTAAACAGACAGAGGCATTATGGGGCTAAGGTGTTTTTTTTTTCTTTTTCTAAACACCTTAGACACACCCAGGTAATCCCTAAATCTTGGACTTGCAGGGGGTCCTTGAGGACTGGGTTGAGAACCCCTGCACTAGGCCTTTATACTGCACTGAACAGGAAAATAGATATTGTGGGAAAAGGAGACAGAGGCATTATGGGGCTAAGGTGTTTTTTTTTTCTTTTTCTAAACACCGTTTCTTTTTCTAAACAGACAGAGGCATTATGGGGCTAAGGTGTTTTTTTTTCTTTTTCTAAACACCTTAGACAACCCAGGTAATCCCCTGACCTGCCTTGCGTAACACTGTTCCTTTTCCCTTCATGTAGGCTCAAAGTAACCCGTCCGATTACTCTCTTTCATCACTGACTCCAAGCCCTGAGTAAGGTTGACTCTGACTCTAGCCCAGGCCTGTTCGGTTCCTGAATTGCAAAATCCAAACATTGTTAAATAGTGTGAACAGTGTCTGGATTTTGTGAATGGACTTTGGTAAATACCTCACCAAGTAAATTAACAGCAAAGTCCCTTTGATTTGGACGTGGTCAGTTGGTATTCACAATAGTTTAACAAATTAGCCTTTACTAGGAATAATCAGCTTCCGTCTGCCTTCGATGCCCTGTTTTTGGAGCTATAGTATTTCAGTTGCTGATATATAAAAAAACTATTTTGGATCGCTGAAGATGTCCTTAGTTTTATCCTATTTGTGTTGTACTACTCAGAGCAAAGACTTTAAACTGTATGTTTGTGTGTGTGTGTGTGCACACTGTTCCTTAGCCGGTATTTAGGTTTTTACAGCGGCACCACTGCTGAGAAATGCATGTTGTTGGTATGTCCATCAATTCCCTTCTTCTGTATAATGGAGAGCAGGCTGCAATGATCATGGACAGAATTTATAAGAATTTATAACGCCTGTGGATCCTCTTTCAATTTGCATGCAGAAAATGATGTTACAACATAGCATCATGCATTTCTATCACCAGAGGGCAGAAAATGATGTTACAACATAGCATCATGCATTTCTATCACCAGTGATAACCTTAAAATATGAGGATATTTTGTATCTACATAATTGGTTACTAAAATAGTTTGCTGTTTCGCCACTGCCATCCACGGGAAAATGCTTCTCTAGGGCTCAGCCACACCACTACAATGGTGCCAGTTTGAGCTTGAGAATTTATCTATTTGGCCCATACGACATAATCTGCAATTAGTACCTAAATATTTAGCTTCTGTAAACATGGAAATGGTCAGGCACCTTTATCATGAGTTTGGCAAACTCACTGCACAAGTAAAAAAACATTTTTTTTTTAACAACTATCACCATTTACTAGGGTATATGTAAAAACAGCTTGCAAAAGCGGCAGATGTGCTGTTTGCAGACTTTGCAAGCCCACCTCTTCTAACCCCACCCAGACATTCTGTGGTTGTCCAATCATAGATTTTGCAATGCATCTCATTAAAATAACCTTTGCAAGGCAGGTGCTCTGATCAATTGCCTGTTTTTCACTTTTACTCCACAGCTCAACAAACCATGAAGTAACCGATCCATTGTCTGATTAATAGTGTAGCACGGTTAATTTATAATAGTTCCAATTTCTATTGAAATCTACACTTTTTGTAAAATGAAAAAGATGACAACCTTCTTCGCATGTAAAGCATCTCAGCAAGCTAAAGTGCTTTATGTGTTTGGCGTGTCCATTTCATGCTACCTATACATTCATAGAAATGTCTTGAATAATTACGTCACTTCCAGCTGTTGTCACACAGTTTACCCTTTGAGTGCTGAAGGGGAAATCAAAGAGAGCAATATGTTGGTATTTAAACAGTTATCCTGAATTTTGAAAGGATACTTTGCTGAAGATGCTGAGATAATAATTATTTCATGGAAAATGCTGGCTGAAACAGAGAAATTAGTTCAAGTATGGCATATCTTTATTGATCCACAACGTTTTCCATAAATCTACAAGCTTTTGGAAGTGCGTAGTTACCTTTCTCCTTCAGATAAACTTGGCTTTGTGAAAAGTGGCTAACATTTAAAAATGAGATTTTATCATTACTGGATAAGGGCAAATCTCTAGCAGGTAATCCAGTGTAATTATTGAATCAAAACAAGTTTGGGAGGGACTGCATCAAAATGGCATCGTTAATATGTGTATGTACATCTCATATACTTGTTATCTGATATAAGCTTATATATGTATTTTCAAAAAGAAGAAAATTATATTTGTATTTTAAATGGATTTTCTATTTTTTTTTAAAAATGGCATCACTAAACTTTTGTTCCAGCTAAAGCCTGGCATTGTTGTGAGTTAACAATGGAGATTTTAAATATTTTCTCCAATATGTTACATATAACCACAATAAGCGAAGACACAAATTCTACATCTCACAAGTATCAAATATAATGTAATACACGGCTAGTAAGCAAAACCATTGTCTTGAAATCTATTCATAAACAGAGCTATTAATAGGATACATGTTCATGCATTCAGACTGGAAGAAAGGAAATTTAGTCAAAGGCAAATGAGTAGGGCTTTTTTACAGTAAGAACAAAAAGGATGATGAATTAAGAGGTGGGTTTATCAGAATCTATACATATGTTTGAACAGCAATTGGATGGATACTTGCAAAAACATAATATTAAGGGGTATCATTCTAATTTGTGGGGTAATATCTTCTTAATCCAAGGAGGCATCAGACTGCCTTTCTGGGGTCAAGAAGGATTTTTTTTCTAGTTTGTTACAAAATTGGAAAAAAACTCAAACAGTTTTTTTCCCTTCTTGGAACAGCATGTGGGAAAGGCTGAACTTGATGGACACATGTAAATGTAACTATAACAGACCTAGATCCAGCAGGTCTGCTACATTTTTGAAATGTAGAATCTTTGTCCCTCTAGCCTTGGTTTAATGCTGACCCCTGGCCTTGTATAAAACCAAGGTAGAAATGCCTGCCCAAGAAAGATCAATAATTGAAATAACAAGTTATGGGAGGGAGGGGATGCCTTAAAGCAGAGGTTAAAATTAAGGAAACAACCAACCAACAGCAGTGTTCTCATTGAAATCAGTGGGAACCCCAGGTACAGTTCAAATAGTTCAACTACATTAAAAACCACCGGTACCTAGTAACCTAGGTTCATGTACAGATATTGATTTTACTTTGTTATTTATTTTCCTTTTTTACATGCTTTATAGTGCAATATCTCTATATAACATATTTTCATAAGAGTGGCATATTTTTTGTCAAGTTAATATTGATGGTGTTTCCTTGAAATTTAAAGTACTTTCCCACAACAGAATACCAGCATATATTTTAATGCGAAATAGAGGGACAAAATAATTTTCTGTTATTTATTATTTGCCTAACCCGTTACTTGTTCATTTAGACCAGCATACAGTTTAATATCACCTCTCTCTTCTCCTCTGTGCATATCTGAAACATTTACATGCAATTTTCACTTTAGTGAGAACAATTCTCTAAAATAAACCTCACAGCCGGGTGACTAAGCCCAACATAATTTCCTTTATAGCCAGGGGAAGATAATATCTGTACTTAAGCTGCCATTCTGTTCTCAAATGTAGTATGTTCATCCTGGTGTAAATATAAGGTTTATTAATACACGGATAACAGGTTTTTCTTCTTAAAGGACCACTATAGTGCCAGGAAAACATACTCGTTTTCCTGGCACTATAGTGCCCTGAGGGTACCCCCACACGGGTTCTGGGGAGAGGAAGGGGTTAAAATCTTACCTTTCTCCAGCGCCGGGCGGGGAGCTCTCCTCCTCCTCTCCTCCTCTTCGGCTGAGAAGCACGCAAGCGCCTCTAGCGGCTGTCAAGAGACAGCCACTGGAGAGCTGGGTTAACCTATTTATAAACAAAGCAGTTTCTCTGAAACTGCTATGTTTATAAAAAAAATGGGTTAACCCTAGCTGGACCTGGCACCCAGACCACCTCATTAAGCTGAAGTGGTCTGGGTGCCTAGAGTGGTCCTTTAACTTATCAAACAACCCATGTTACCCATAACCTATAACTCTGAGCCAGGCAGACCATAACATTTAGACAAGATATACATAACCTTAAATGGAATATTCCAACTAAATTCTTCTCTATTATCCAGAGGACGCTATGCAAGCATTTTATAATACGTAATAAGTGGAACTATATTTTATATTTTATATATTTTATCCTTTATTCTGTTTGTTTATATTAAAGTATACTTTTAAAGTTACTTTTATATTTACTATTTTTTATTTCCTGGATCCTGTATATCCTTGGTGGGGATTATACCACCCAAGTTGTTTATACCAGAGCAGGCCATATGCTCTAGAAATTGTAAGTAAAATACTATTTAATATTTATTATATTATTGGTACTTACTTCACCATATTGCTGCTATTTTTCTTTTATACCAACTACGCTCATTGCACTTTGGAAATATTTGTGGCAACTTCTACAAATCCAAAGACGGGGATTGTACCGTCCAGGCGCTTCACAGCAGAGCTCTGTTATAGCTCATTCATACGTGAGTGGACTGTACATAGTTATAAATCACCCGTCTTTAAGATAATATTGACTGTATTGCACTATTATTTTTTATCTTAATTCTTTTCTGAGGTTACGATTATTTGGAATATTCAAGGATACATGTATGTATTTTTTACATATATAAACTATTAGGCGCGGTATACGCTCTTCTTTCTGTTTTCCTATAATACGTAATATACTAAAGTAAATACTGAATTACAGCAAACAAATTAACTAATTTTTTTAGGCTCAAACTGCAGCTCAATTTGAATTAACAATTACATGTCCTATCTAACATATTATTGTTAAACGATCTGAATGTAATATAAAGCGCTACGGAATCTGTTGGCGCTATATAAATGGCAATAATAACACTAATAATAATTAATGGTGGCAGCTGAATATCGCAGCACATGTCTTAAATTAAAGTAACTAGTTCTTTCTCAATCCTTACACTAGTCATAAGCCTAGCTCTAACCAAAACCCTAGCACTCATTTAAAATGGACCTTCTGTCCCGTGATTTAGTGTGATCTCTCCTATGTTTTAAGTTCTTGTTTTGATAGGAATTCTAAAATGCATTGCATTTTCCACCTAGAAAAAATTCTATCTCCATGGATTGATTGGCAGGATGCGTCCATTCTGATGGGGCTTTGATAATCAGTGCTTGAAGGATATAAAGTCAGATTAGTGAGAGAATCTTTGTCTAGTGTCACTCATACATCATATGTATCGCCCTAAGCAACTTCACAACTGTAAATCTTAGAAAAGAAGTTAAATCATTTGTAATTCTGGCTACATTTGGATGCATTTACCACCAGTTCTGGTACACTTCCCAATATAGGTGGAATACTGGTAGTAATATGAAAAAATACTATTATTACCGGTTAGTTGAGCATGATTGACATCTGAAGGTTGGTATGATTGGCATAATTGGGATACAGCTATACAGAAAGACCAATCAACAAACACAGTTGAGATTTAATTCTGGATACTCAAGATGGGCCAGTATGATTTTATTTATGATTCCAATCGACATTTCCAATACAGTTAATTTGTATTTGGAGGAATGTGATAAACAGAGCCAGTTGCTGCTATAACCAAACTTTTGTTTTATTTCCACCAAAGAGCATTTAGAGATTTATCTGATTAGATCTTATATAAACAAGTGATAACTCCAGAATTCCATTCTTCATCGTCTCGTCCATCCAGCTTATAGCAGAAGCACATTGCAGTATATTTAATACTGGGCCTACTGCAGCTATGACATAATTGTTTTATATAAAAAGACAGAAGCAGGCAGGTGGCAGCACAAACTTGAAGATGTCTCACAGCATTTTGGTCTCTTCTAATATGTGCCAAGCCAAAATTCACAGTCATTTTGAAAAAAGTGCAAACTGCGAAAAATTCTTGTCACATGTAAAAATAGTTTGTTATATGTTAATAATTATCTATGGAAGCACTGGATATTTTTATTCTGCTATCGTAAGACAACACAATAAAACATTTTAATGCAAAGCCAAAACATGCAATAATTATTTAACTTAATTTATACTTCACATTTAAGTTATTTAAATTTAGTTACACACCTTTATTGATTTACATATTATATTTATATTTTCTATAAGTATTCATTTGCATACACTAATCATCCACAACATTAAAACCACCCGTCTGATATCATGTAGGTCCCCCAGGGGCTGATGCATGGATTTTTGACTACACAGGCGAAGATGCCCTTTTGTCATCTGCCCCCCATCCCTCAACAACATGCAACCTAACCTGTGTTTCCCTTAATCTCCCTCTCCATGGTGTTTTTTATCCTCTCTTTTAAATGTTTTACTCCCTTTAGCATATCTTATCGCCCATATTTTCCCTTTGTGTCTCTAACACTCCCTCGTGTGTGTCTCTTACTTTCCTCCAGCCCCTTTGTGTGTCTCTTTCTCCCCTTCCCCAGCCTCTCTGTGTGTCTCTTTCTCCCCAGCTCCTTTGTGTGTCTCTTTCTCCCCTTCCCCAGCCTCTCTGTGCATCTCTCTCCCTCTCCCAGCCCTCCCCAGCTCCTTTGTGTGTCTCTTTCTCCCCTTTCCCAGCCTCCCTGTGTGTCTCTTTCTCCCCAGCTCCTTCATGTGTCTCTTTCTCCCCTTCCTCATCCTCTCTGTCTCTTTCTATTCCCCAGCCCCTGTATATCTCTTACTCCCCAAGCACCTTGTGTGTCTCTTTCCCCCCTTCCCAGTCTATCACGGTGACTTGTCCCCCAAAGCACCTTGTCTCTTTCTCCCCCAGTCTCTCTGTGTTTCTCTTTCTCCCCATATTCTTTGTGTGTCTCCTTCTCCCCTTCCCCAGCCTCTCTGTGTGTCTCTTTCTCCCCAGCTCCTTTGTGTGTCTCTTTCTCCCCTTCCCCAGCCTCTCTGTGCATCTCTCTCCCTCTCCCAGCCCTCCCCAGCTCCTTTGTGTGTCTATTTCTCCCCTTTCCCAGCCTCTCTGTGTGTCTCTTTCTCCCCAGCTCCTTTGTGTGTCTTTCTCCCCTTCCTCATCCTCTCTGTCTCTTTCTATCCCCAGCCCCTCTGTATATCTCTTACTCCCCAAGCACCTTGTGTGTCTCTTTCCCCCCTTCCCAGTCTATCACGGTGACTTGTCCCCCAAAGCACCTTGTCTCTTTCTCCCCCAGTCTCTCTGTGTGTCTCTTTCTCCCCATATTCTTTGTGTGTCTCCTTCTCCCCTTCCCCAGCCTCTGTGTGTGTCTCTTTCTCCCCAGCTCCTTTGTGTGTCTCTTTCTCCCCTTCCCCAGCCTCTCTGTGCATCTCTCTCCCTCTCCCAGCCCTCCCCAGCTCCTTTGTGTGTCTATTTCTCCCATTTCCCAGCCTCTCTGTGTGTTTCTGTACTGCTTAGGGAGGAGTAACATTTTGAGGAGGAGTCTGGTGCTCCACCATCTTAAACCTTCACCAGCCACCACTAATGTAGCTAACCCTTCTGGGTTGCTGAGCTAAATTGTCTTTTTACCTAATGCATGGGAAAATGCTATGTAGTTTGTACTTCACATTTATGTTATTTAAATTTAGTTACACACCTTTATTGATTTACATATTATATTTATATTTTCTATAAGTATTCATTTGCATACACTAATCATCCACAACATTAAAACCACCCGTCTGATATCATGTAGGTCCCCCAGGGGCTGATGCATGGATTTTTGACTACACAGGCGAAGATGCCCTTTTGTCATCTGCCCCCCATCCCTCAACAACATGTGAAAGCTAGCTCAGCTTTGACACCTAGTTACAGAGGGGTGGGCTATAAGCAGCGGGGAGCCCTGTTTTATTGTCAAAATTCTCAATAATACTTTGAAAGTAAATAAAAAAGGCAGCGCCCAAATACTCTTTGTACCATTACCACTACAATGAGTTGCAGTGGTTATGGTACCTAGATTGCCCCTTCAAAGAATAGCACTGGTTTACTTTTACAGTACAACCCTCACGTATTAAAGTAGGAGAACAAGAGCTATTATTCAGTTTTGCAATATTATAATTGTTATCCCACTGGGATTATAGAAGTCTGGTTCCATTGTACCCTGCAATTTTGTGTGGTGACCAACAGATGGCGAGCTTCAGAGAGCATGGCTGAATACAACCGGGACTCCATTTTGTTTTGGAGTTAGTGCATAGCTGGATATAAGCAGAGAAAGATCACTGTCAAGAAATTGTTGAGCCTAGGGACTGAGGCCCGTTATACTTAAAGGGATCCTATAGTGCCAGGAAAACAAACCTATTTTCCTGGCACTATAGGCTCTTGGAGTTCCCCCTTGGGGCCCCCCTTACTCTGCGCTGAAGGGGTTACAAACCCTTCAGTCACTTCCCTTAACCCAGCACTGAGCTCCCTTGGTGCTGGTGACCTCTCCTACCCAGCCGATGTCAGCTCCCAAGTAGAGCCAAATGCGCATGTGCGGCCAAAGGCGCACGCATTCAAACCTGCCCATGGGAAAGCATTATTCAATGCTTTCCCATGGGGATCTTATTTGACGCTGGACTCCATGAGGACGTCAAATAAGTGTTATTTACTCAATGTAAATAGAGAAAGCGGCCTCTAGTGGCTATAAGGGATACAGCCAATAGAGGATTAACCCTGCAGTGTAAACATAGCCGTTTCTCTAAAACTGGGATGTTTTCAGCTACAGAGTTAAAATTAGGAGGACCTGGCACCCAGACCACTTCATTAATCTGAAGGGGTCTGGGTGCATAAGTCACACTGTGTAGTTTCTATCACTCATGTAGATATGTTCCAAGTGGGATCCTACATCAACACCATGGATACCCAGCTGGGTGGAGGCACTGCTACAATCACATACCCCAACTCCCAGGTAGCAGAGACTCTGGATCGCCTGTGAGTGTTAAGAGGTAACTGAGGTGAGGGACCCCATGGGTATAAGGGGATCCGCCAAAAAACCTGTTACATAATAAATATAGTTGCACACACATGCGCGTATGAGACATATTATACTTTTTACATATAAGACACGTTATACTTTTAGATAAATTTAACAGCCAGCTAACATGTAGTGGATACATGGTATTGTATCCCAGCAGGAGGTAGCTGCAGCAATGACATTTATACATCGCACTACCTGTTAAACAACACAGACGCAGGGATGGGGTAAGTGAGTAGGCTGTGTTTTTCACACCAATTTCAAAGACAGCTTTATTTTGTATTTTATTTTACTGCTTTATTTAGAATTAACTGCAACCAGATAGAATTTAGCACCGCAGTTAAAGGGTTTTATATACTAAGCAGTGAACTCCAGTGGATTTAAAACCATAGTTCAAATTCAGGCTATAGTTGCCAAACGTTAGCTGGGTTGGATATTTGTTTCCAGCCAATGTTTGCCTTATTTATGTCATTCAGTTTTTCATTTACTATTTAGTTGATATATCATCATGTATCAGGAAATAGACTTGCCCCACTTACAGGTGCCTTGTGCTTTAAAACAGGGAAGACAACAATCAGGGTTACAACGCCACATTTTTGCAATTTGAAATCTGATGCGTAAAATTTTGCTTTGACTGTAGACAAGTTTGATAATTTTTCTAAATAGTTATTTTCTCCTAAATGTTGCCATTCACATTTTTAATTCTCTAAAATTTGAAGAATAATGAATCCAACCCCCACCACTGTGAGTGTGTTAGAAGGAGGGTATATTGTGAAAATAAAAAGAACTGTGTGTTTGTCTGCTCATGTGTTTAACCCCTTAAGGACCAAACTTCTGGAATAAAAGGGAATCATGACATGTCACACATGTCATGTGTCCTTAAGGGGTTAAATAACTAGTCCAAAGTGATTTAAAATTACTGTCACTTGGAATTTAGTCCAGATTAATCAATTTGAAATAAAATCCCAATGGATTTATATTATTTCCGTCTAACAATTTTTCATTAATATTACAAATTAATCAATTTCAATTTGACAGCAGACATTTTTTTAGAAATGTTACAGTTTGCATCTTGGACAAACATTAATCAAATTAATTGGCCTCAACTGGTGCATGAGATGCCAGCGGCCAATCAGAACATGGGATTTAAAACCGACAAACTGCTGAACATATTTTTACATTTAGGCTACCAGGCACACCTTAAAGGATCACTATAGTGTCAGGAAAACAAACTCGTTTTCCTGACGCTATATCATCCTCAGGACCTCCCTCCCTTGGCGCTGAAGGGGTTAAAACCGTCCAGTGTCCCATAAGTGTGATTTACTCAGTTTAAATAGAGGAAGTGGCCCCTAGTGGCTATGTTTACATCTGAAGGGTTAAAACCCAGGGGACCTGGCACCCAGACCACTTCATTGAGCTGAAGTGGTCTGGGTGACTATAGTGTCCCTTTAACATAGGGTCAAATTTTTGTCTTTGACCCACATTCATGTACTATTTAATCAAAATGGGTCATCTCAATGTATGGTTGAATATAGTGGTGATCTTGAAATGTATGAATACACCTGGTTATCTGCAGCAATTATCTGGTATTTTGTACATCAATTTTTACGTTTATGCTTGAAGTAATTTTTGTTAATTAAAAAAGTATTAGTAAATCGATAAAATAATCTCAGTGGTTATTAGGACTGAGCGTTCAATAAACTAAAAGGTCATCTTCTGCAGTAAAATCTTTGCACAACTTAAATAATTATACACACCTTAAATAAACCTGTGCACATTAAATAATTGTGCTGTGCATGCTTATCGATTTGTGACATAAGAATGGCATAGTGTGGGCGTACTTATTAATTGGGGCTGAGATGTAAAAGCACAGTTGTGGCGGACATCGTGAGGAATGGGACCTGCTCTTTTGATGTGGAGTTATAGTTAACAAATACAGCTATATATTCTTCCCAAAATAACAGTCTATGAATTCTTATACATTCAATTGTTTCAGTCAATGACATATTTAACAAACATCACTAAGAAATGATAAGGTCTTAAAATTATACTGAAAGTGTGCAATGAACATCCAGGATAAGACATAATTAAGTGATGTATCTTTACTTTCAAAATTACATTGGAAACAGTATCAAAGTTTTTTTTTTAATTATATTGTTTTGGAACAATATAGAAAGGTTGAAAAGTGAAATGATCTGTTTTGGGCTTTTTAGCTATTCTTTTGGTCGGTTTCTTTCAATTACTGGATCATACACACTTCTCAGCACTGTTGTTATAGGTTATTGAGCCCTGCATCTAGTCCCCGATAGCTCGGAGATTAGTTTAACTACCCTTGTAATTACATGGCCAGAAAAAAATAAATAAATAAATAAATAAATAAATAAAAGCTACTAAAAGCATCTTGTCGTAGATAATATTAATCAGTCGATCTGGTTTCCAATTTATAATGTCCCTTTTGCATTTAACGCTGAACATATAACATGAGACATTCTTGCTGTAATACGATGGTTTTGGGCTCAAGGGGTTAAAGCCCTAGGCTTCGATCAATCGGCTTCTCTTGAGAAAAAAAAAAAAAACAGAAAAAAACATATGGCTCGTAAAAAAAGAGCAAGCAGGTTTTGTTATAAATATAAATCTACCTCAATCAGGAACAAATGAAACAACACATATGTGTTTGGATATTGTATAGATCTTCTAGTCCACACATTTATTCATCTTCTTTAGCAACAAGCCAGACACCAGCCAATAGGAAATGTTTCACTCCATAAGGCATCCTGATTCGAGGTTACTCTAGTGCATTGACCAGGAGTAACCGGGGAAGGGATATTGTTCATGAATTACCTACACTGCAGTGCACCAGCTGATAGGACTATTGTCTTTTCTAGAAGGGATTAGCAACCAATATAGGACACGGGCTATGCTCGATGATAAACAACTTGGCGATGCGTTTACTAACAGATAATATCAGACAGTGAACCATGCTGGTTACAGATATTAACTCTAGAACAACGACAGATCGCAGAATATGCGAAGAATATTTCAGCGTTAAATGCTCTCAACATTTTCTATATGAGCTGTGAAGAAAATTAGAATCGGGGAAGATACATTTGAAATTAGAGACTGTATTAATAATATTAATTAACGTTACAATACTGAATGCAGAAAATGTGAAGGCTCTTCTGCATAATACTTTGTCCATTCCAAAAATAGCTGGTGGTTCATCATAATAAGGTCAGTAGATTCTAGACTTGAGCACAAATCCTTTTCAACTGCATCAAACAAATCACATTTCTGTTAATCTATGCCCCAACGAATCGATCCGTCCGGAATTTACTTTGGAGCTGGACAGAACAATTCGTTCAGGAATTTGACTCATTTGATTTATATACACATCTAATATATTCCTTTAAAGCAGTAATAGCTAACCTTGGAACTGATGATTTTTGTAAACTGCAGCTTCCATAATACTCTGCCATACATTTAGGCTGCTATAAAAATTCATATAAATCTCTTTTGGAAAATAATTTTTTTTACCGAGTGACAGAATTAGCGCTATGTACTCTCCATCTTAACTACTCACTACACTACCCTCCTTGCTAATTTGTCATCCTTCCTCCTAACTAGCCATTTTTCCTCCTACCTAGTTACCTTCTCTCTAAACCAGTCTAATTTCACCTTAAAGGACAACTATAGCGTCAGGAAAACAAACTTGTTTTCCTGACACTATATAATCCTTAGGTCCCCCCCACCCTCAGTACGGGGGGCCCTGGGCCGAGCTCCCTCGGCGCTGGTGACCTCTCCTCTCCCTCCGACAGCAGCTCCCGAGTGGAGCTGAATGCGCATGTGCGGCAAGAGGCGCGCACGCATTAAAAACGCCAATAGGAAAGCATTTCTTAATGCTTTCCTATGGACATTCTGCGTGCTCAATGCAATTTTCTGATTGAGCGTCGCAGAAGCACCTCTAGCGGCTGTCAGGAAGACAGCCACTAGAGGCTTGATTAACCCTGCAATGTAAAAATAGCAGTTTCTCTGAAACTGTTATGTTTACAGCTGCAGGGTTAAAACCTGGGGGACCTGGCACCCAGACCACTTCATTGAGTTGGAGTGGTCTGGGTGACTATAGCGGTCCTTTAACCAACTATTGCTCCAATTACCTTCTATCCCAAAAATGTCCCTGTATACTAAAAAGTAACAGCCATTCGTTCTAACTAGCCAGTCATATATCCACCTTATAAGAGAGCCTCCATCTTTCCAAACCACCATCATTCATAACTAGTTAGCCACCACTGCAATTGACTAGCATCTTCCAATTCTAGACAAACAATATCCATATTTCACAGTCAGCCAACCAACCAACCAACCAACCATCTAAACAAAAGCGCTTTGTCCTTACAATATCATTCCAGCCATCAAAAATGATTTATATCTCTCGTATCGAGTAACTCTTCCTAACAAGCTATCAATCCTGCTTACAAGTCAGTCATTAATCTTTTAAACTGACCACCATTATTACAAACTTCCCCTATTAAACATCTCTCCCTTCTAGTTAGACACATTTTGTCCCAGCCACTCCCCGCTAGCAGTTTATAAAACAGAGCCAGCAGTTAAAAAAGAGCCACCAGTTAACAAGCAGTTTCTAGCCACCAGGTATAACCACCAGAACTAGACTTGGTATAATGACCATCAAACACTTTTGTTGATCAACCCAGCCAGCTCCAACATCCAAAACACCCAAGTTGGGATAACCTTCTATGTTTCGCAGATAACAATCTTAATTTGTCTAAATGTGTGGTTTAGTTAACAAACTCCCTTATGTTGATTGTCTCTTATTTTCCACACGTTGTTACTGCTCTGGAAGTGAAGCTTGGTGCTGAGAAACTGATAGCAATACCTTGTTTTAAAAACCTGTGCCCTCCCCAAATCTGTCATATTGTTTGGCATTTGCTTTTGCAGGTACATTAATTCTTCTAAATTGGGTAAAAAACAGTTTGTTCAGCACTAAGTTAAAATCTAAATGTCAGGGAAAGAAAAAAAGAAAGAGGAATTATCCTCATTATATCAGAATTCATGAGTTCAACAGAAATGTAAAGGGTTCTGTATCTGTGCACTGTGCATCAGGTTTAATCTGCGAAAGTTCTTACAACTACTAACATAGTCTTTGTAACATTGTTGCATGACGTTCAAGTGATGGACGTGACAGAATGTTCTACTGACTGGATGCTTCAGAGGGAACTAGTCTCGGAACCAGTAAAACAACTAAACCAACTGATATTCTGAGATAGAAGCTCACACTTTCAACCTAAAATATATGTATTTGTTCTGGCAAGCTCCCAACAAACCACTTATTTAGAACCAAGTGGAACATTTGTATTTGTTAGAACGGCAGTTCACAGCTTACATGCATTTCCTACCTAAAAAGTAGATTTTTCTTCCTTTACAAAGGGGTCATTACATACAAAACAATCAGTTCTTATCATGTTTGTGCCCGTCTGACTTCATGCCACCTAATATCAGAGTGAAACCTTCTTATCATGTTTGTGCCCGTCTGACTTTATGCCACCTAATATCAGAGTGAAACCTTCTTATCATGTTTGTGCCCGTCTGACTTCATGCCACCTAATATCAGAGTGAAACCTTCTTATCATGTTTGTGCCCGTCTGACTTTATGCCACCTAATATCAGAGTGAAACCTTCTTATCATGTTTGTGCCCGTCTGACTTCATGCCACCTAATATCAGAGTGAAACCTTCTTATCATGTTTGTGCCCGTCTGACTTCATGCCACCTAATATCAGAGTGAAACCTTAGGACTTTACAAGCTGCCAGGTAACCACCTCTGTGTTAACAATATCCATTCATTTTTACAAATTTAAATAATACGCAAATCAAGCTCATTCAAGGCAAATGGCATATGAGTCTTACCATATCCCTGACTACAGTTCCTGTGGGGTAGCATTTGGTACTTTATACCAGATCAATAAGATATTGGTGTATTCGTTTGGTGTCTTTTATAAGCAGGAAAGTTTAGAGGAAAGGTCCCATAAAAACTGAAATTTGAAGTGTTAGAATGGATTAATCGGTTTCTGTCTGTCCATGAAGAACTTATTCTATCACCAAACTAAAAATGTATGCTTTACTTGAGATAATATTTTTCAACTAATTAATTTGCAGCAATTTTCTGTTAATGTCAATAAAACAAAAATTCCAAAAGATTTTTGCGTGCACCCCAAATATGACTTTACCTATTTTAAAAACAATATTAAGTCAACACACACTTTTTAGAATAAATCTTTTTAGCAATATTATTGCAATATTTTTTCTAAAGCAAAAGTTAAGATGTTTTAAGATATGGCTTAATATGAGCTCTCTATCCATATGTATCTGATAAAATTGCTAACATGCTAATATGACTTTACCGAGCTAATCCTATAGACCAGCTCTGTATTGAGAATTATCAGGATTAGAGGGTTTAATTGCTTATTAATTCAGTATGTTAAACCTCACTTCAGAACCTCACACAATCTGACCCTGCAGGGGATTTAAGATACGATTTGTTGTAAGGTTATAACCTGCAGGGATTCACTGAAGACAATCAGGGTCCTACTGTAAGATAAGGCACTGGGCCTCCTGAAGGCATGTATGCTTACAAATTACACAACAGGGGGCGGGGCCTGCTGCTTGACGTGTTTTGGGAGAGCTCCTGCATAAAGCTATTCCCTTGCTTAAATAATCTAACTCCCATCACGCTTGACCAGCACTAAACCTATCCTAAGGGTCAGAGGAACCAATCGGGGTGCTCTGGAGAGGTCTATTGAGGAAGTTCCGACAGAACTTTGAAGGAATCCAGCAAGGCCTAGTGTAACCTGCCGACTGCCCTGGGGTATAAGACGTGCCCTGGGATGAGAGACGCAGATGATCTCTCACCTTGCAGGCTGACTATTGCCTGGCAACCATTCCCCCCTCCCCCCTTTGGACCAGTGGGGGTTATCCCGGTCCCCGCTGGGCCAGCATCTACAGCTCAAAGTAGCTTGTTCAACTTTAGACGCGGGGCCAACTCAAGTAAATCACAAAATGGCCGACGCACATGTATTAGCCTTACAGCGCTCACTACTGGAACCAATCTGTTTATGAAGCTTATCTTTCTCAGAGAGGCTGGAGGCACTTTTTGACCAATTCTGGGCAAAATTGGAGAAACGCAAGCGGCTCACGACTTCTACAGCTCAGCCTACCGCACATGAATGGCAAAATGGAGTGCAGCCGGAGAGGCCCCGACAGGGCAAAGCAGCATCCGAAACCACATCCCATACTACCACTGGCCCACCTGGGAAAAGAGCCACACGTGGCTCAACCCCTACACACCACCCACACCACGTCTGTGGAGGACCGCTCGACACCTGCTACAGCAGCAGAGTGCAACCCTGCGCAGCCCCCCACCGGGGAATGACTTGGCCTGAGGAAGGCTCTGAGTCTGTGGATTAGTGGAACTGGCTCCTGAAGAATCCTGAGGACTTGAACGCTGCTCATGCTTCATACCCACACAGGGAGTTGGGTGACTGTCTTTCCATGCGGGCTGCCATATACCTCTATAATTAATATGCTCTAGCCCCAACAGCAGCTGTTTATTATATTTCATATTTTATTTCAAACGTTACTTCTTACTGATTATTCTCTGAATGTTTGATTACTGTGTGGGGCCCCAGCAGTGCAAACTTGAACCTACTCACCATGATGAGCATAATTTATTTCCTGGCCCTGCCTTCTCGCACATCATCCATATGACCTTTCAGACGCATTTACATATATGCTTCACCACCAGCCTGATTCCTCCGGCATCGAGAAAATCTGAGCATTTTACTGGCTGGCATGCTATGCCTCTATATTAACCATTATACCTCTATATAGCTACCATGTCTAGTTCTTACAATAGAATGACATTACTTTCTGCCCGCACCAGCCTCCCTACGGCACACACAAGTTGTTTAACATATAAGCTGTTTTATTATAAAAATATGCATATCGTACTCCGTACCCCAGTATACTACATGAGGAATGCCGATGGGGTACCTCAAGCCTGTTTGTAACAAGCTTATGAACTGCAAAAATATAAAATAAAAAAATTACACAACAGGCAGGAAATGACTCCCATTTGTATTCATTCAATAGGCAGGAGATGACTCCCATTTGTATTCATTCAATAGGCAGGAGATGACTCCCATTTGTATTCATTCAAGAAAAGACAATGGATGAAAAATACTTGATTGTTATGTTCCTGCACTCGTTGCAAAAGGAAAGGATTTGCAGTTACTGCAGCTAGTTTTCAGTAAACCAGGAAATTGCCATTATCGCCCAGCCAATCCTAGCCTTCCAATATATGAGAATATCTCCTGGACTCCTGGCCAGCGTACATTAGTGGGATATGTAACGTATTTCTTAATACATAAATAAATCCCATTGAACAAGCTAATAAAAGCCACTGTGCACATATAAGAGAGAGTCTGTCAGACGCAGGGGGCCTTCTTCCCATTTTAACCCATTTGCTCTCCCCTTCCCCTCTACTATCCAGATAGCCCCTTGATGTTTTAACCCTGTCTTGCACAGTTCGACTCTTCGTGTTAAGTGCCAGGAGAAACTCGAAAAGAGAAGAGATTCTGTGAGAACAGGAAAAGAACACTGAGTGAATTGTACATGATGATGTCATATCAAGAGCTCTTCACCGATTGGCCGAGCTCAAAGTTCCAGGAAGAGGCAGAAAAAGAGATCAGTTCAAGAACAGACTCAAATCTCTGCCCGTCTTGTCCTCATTATAAAAGTGGAGCACGGCTTCATGGTAGCTTATTGGTTCATGGTAGTGACAAGAAAAAAAATAATTAACTAATTGCCAATTCCCTGCTCAAAAACGGAAAAAAGGTACAATGCAAAAAAAGAATAGTGTATCTCAGCCATGTGAATTGACAAAAAAAAAAAAGAATACGCTTTGTGTCTGAAGGTGACACAGTGTGATGCTTAGTGTTGCAGTACCCAGATGGCTTGTTATATCCTGATCATTTTGCTGTTATATTGGGGCAGATTAGTTTTAGCAGATTTCTAATATGTCACAGATTTTAATAGCCATATAAAAATGTCCAGCTATGTTTTACTATATTCCTCACGGGACCATTCCTGTTGAAAAAGGAGATTACTACCTACTGCTTCAACAACAAAACAGCTCCTTACTTAATATATGCCAATATAATAAAGATATTGAGATATTGCACCTTTCTTCCTTAATACAACAGGGTGTGATCTATAAAAAGAAACTCTTGTGCAAAGTTATACAAGAACAAAAGCAATTAGCAGGAACAGTCCATTGGTTTCCATAGTAACTGCATCACTTTTAGAACTTTGCATCACAATTGCTCCCTAAATATTTACTTCAGGATGCAGGAGCCTCTTTGTAGTCTGGAAAGGCTTGTCAGTTCTAGGAAACATAAAGGTTTGGTTGTTTTTAAAAGCATTATATAAGTTATATTTTATAAAAATGTGGGTCACTTCCAGCCCTAGAGTGTCTGTCTAAACAGCATCAAGGTTTTCTCTGTTATATATAATCTCTAATTACATATATAATCTTACCCACTGGGGTAAATTAAGAGGTAGTAGAGATTTGTGCCTCTTCTGGAACAGATCTCTGTCACAGCTTCCTGGTTGCACAATGTACATCACTGTACTGGTTATAGGAGGGGAACATAAATGGTTCAAGAATAGCAAGGAGGGGGATAAGTGAGACCCCAAAACACTTTAACAAGAGACAGGTGCATCCTATTGAAAAAGCCCTTGAGTGCAGTGGCATAGCTACCATGGTCGTAGGGGTCACATCTGAGGATTGAGGGAGGGAGAGAATGAGACAAATAGAGGGAGTGTGGGCGAGAATGAGACACATGGATGATTTTGAAAGAGAATGAGACACATGGATGGACTGGGGGGGTTTGAGACAGGTGGAAGGGCTATAGGAGGAATGAGACATGTGGAGTGGCTAGGGGAGGAATGAGACATGTAGAGGGGCTGGGGGATGAATGAGATATGTGCTGGGGAAATGAAACATGGAGAAAATGGGGGGAATTAGACATCTAGCGGGGCAGGTGGGGAATGAGACATGTGGAGGGGCTAGGGGGGAGAATGAGACATGTGAAGGGGAAGGGGGGAATGAGTTATGTGGAGGGGCTAAGGGGGTATAATGAGACACATGGAGGGGCTAGGAGGGGATGAGACACATGGGGGGGACCCAGGGCAATTTTCGCACTGGGGCCCAGAAGTTTCTTGTTATACCTCTGCTTGAGTGTATCCACTCTGCACATATTGAAAAGTCTTTTTGAAAAAAAGAGAAATTAAAGTGTTTGGCCTTTTAAGCTAGGAAACTATGTGACAGACAGATCCAAGGTCGATCTGTGCACACAAAGAAAGTCCCTGTTATAGAATGTATTCTATGCATTTATAGAACCTCATTAAATTGAACTCGATTATGCAAAATCCAATAAGAAGTTTTAATCTTTTGTGGTATAAAAATAAATTAAAAAAATGCATTTTCTAGTCTATGTGATGATTTATTTCCTCTTTTGAAAGAAATATTCTTGTTAAAATATACGATTTACAGGTCGCATACCAACATTCAGGTACATTTGATAAAGCCTGAGACTTTTTTTCTATCTGCAAAGTTATGACAAAATGTGATTACTAAGTGGTGTAACTCATAGGATACAATGGCAATAACAAAAAAGCTTCCACATGGATTGTATTCACTCCAAAGGAAATTATAGAAACAAAAAGCTATTCTTATTGAGACTGTTTGAGGTGTTTCAAGACAGCCGTGCTAGTGAAATTATTTAGTACGGAGACACAGTGACGAGCAGTGTAGTATTGGGGAAGTGGAAGTTAAATCATAGAAGTTAATACAAAGACTTGTTGGTTATCTCTGCAGTGGCCCTGGCAGTCAGAAGAGCACTGGCTTGGCATTGGTGCAAACCAACACTACGATCCCATATCGAACTTCACAATATCTTAACTGAGGTTGGGGTCATGGAACAACTCACAGCTCAATTTCACAACTCGCCATAATGTTACTGTAACGTTTGGTCTGCCAGGGTGCAGTATTTGCGTCTCTCATAAGGTGTAGGCCGTGGCCCCCGTGGTGGAATCTCCCTTTTCTCTTCTCCTCTTGATACAGAATTTATATTGAGATTTGACCTCTGGCACATGTAATGTCACTCCCGTTCCTAATCTATCTAACAAGTGCTATTTTCCGATTTACACCTCATGTTTCTAATTATATTATCCTTGCTCATTCTACTGTTAAAACAGTGTGTATTACCTCTATTGTCATATTGGATAAACAGATTCAATAATTAACAAATTATAAAAATGTAAAAAACCTGATGGACTCCATGTGCATGTGGTAGGTGAAGGTGAGGCTTATCCAAATAGAGATCCAAAGAAGTCCCCATACTTTACATTAAAGTAGAGGGAGGTACGGTAAGTGCACTATATAGGCAGTGTGTATATTATTTATAATGTATTAATAGGGAACTTTACAGATTAAATTAAAGTAGAGTAGGGGTGGTAAATGTATGGCCTGCAAAATAATTTGGACTGGCCCTGCCAAGGAAACCGCTGGCGGGACAAGAAATTCAATGCTCTAATGACATTTAAATTATTTTCCCCCTTGGACTGTGAATTAGAGTCCAAGAGAATTAAGGAGGGAGGTGCTGCCAGCTGTTGCGGACGCATTTCAGCTGCCAATGGCCAGAGGGAGCACTGTAGCGAGGGAGCTTTCTGTGCCTCTCCTGCTCTACTCTGCTCTCAAGCTCTGCCCCCCAGGCTCATGCAGCTGACCTCACCGACAAGAAGAGGCTGGAAAGTGGAACCTTTATCTCCCAGTGTTCCCACAGCAACACATGACTGAGAGTGATCTTGTGTGTGTATTTACCTGCTAGTGAGTGAGCTTATCTGTAGTGAGCATGTGTGTGTGACAGTGAGCTTGTGTGTGTCAGTGAGCTTGTCGGTAGGGAGCATGTGTCTGTCAGTGAGCTTGTCGGTAGGGAGCATGTGTCCGTCAGTGAGCTTGTCTGTAGTGAACATGTGTGTTTGTCAGTAAGCTTGTCTCTAGGGAGCATGTGTGTGTAGGTGAGTTTGGCTGTAGTGAACATGTGTATGTCATTGAGCTTGCCTGTAGTGAGCATGTGTGTGTCAGTAGCAACATAATCAATACCAGCTCCTCACCAGTGCCTCACCAAAGAGAAGCAGTTCCAGCCATCACATCAGGGATGAGTTAATTAAATGTCTGATTAAATATAGCAGGCTTATTTTAAAGCTGATAATTTTGCATCGCCTGCGAATTATGTTATAAATATCCAAATTGCCCTTGGCAGAAAAAAGGTTCTCCACCCCTGAAGTAGAGGGAGGTACGGTAAATCATGTCACCATACAACATGTGTATATTATGTTCAATTAATACTATAATACAGCTGTAAAAAAAAATATATATATTTTTTTTTTTTTATAGAGGGTTATTCAAACAATTTATAATTTTGGAATAAAGCTATAGAATTTTTCAGGTAAGTATTTTGGTCTTAATATTGCAAAGCTGATTTTCCATTCACCTCATTTCACTCTATAATGAGTCACACCTATGCACACCTGGGTACAAGGTGACACATATAATAAGACACCGTCATATATCCGGCTGCATTGCTGCAATCTTTTATTCATTTTCCAGCACGTGCAGAAATTCTTGAAAGTTGCGACGATGGAGTGAATGAATGCCATTATTTATCACTCCTATCAGATGGCTGGCGGTGTCTATCTTTGGAAGGAAGACTATACTTAACTGGACAAACTGGTGAGACAAGATCCAACCACCAACTGATTTAATAGCCTTCTATCAAACCGGCAATCTACCTTTTAAAATATGTCAGGATGTACGTGTTATATTTATACCCAAGGATTTGTCCATGTTATCAACAGGCTGGAATATGAACTTCATGGATACAAAACAAGATAATTAAATAAATTTATAAATAAAAACATCAAAACGTTTCACAAAACTGGTGGCTGTCAAAAATCTATACAATTACTACCATGCTTTCAGGGTTATTCAAACATGTTTTTAATTAAATTTTATTTTTTTTTAATCATTTATGTCTTTCACTGCTCTTCAATTCCCATCACAGAAGGACATCTATCTGGTGGAAATGTATAACTTAGGAACATTTTCCACAAAAATAGGAAGCTCTATGGAGGTAAAGTCGTTCCTATTTTCTAATGCGTGGTTCCTATTTTCTAACTGTAGATATGTAAAAATGATCAAATAGAATTCAAGTGCACTTCAGTCGCTACAAAATTTTCAAGCGAAATTTCAGGCAATCTCAAAAGTCCACAGCAATAAAATACAGCTTTTCATTTATCCTGACTTGATTTACAGGTACCAAAAATGAGATAAGCAAAGCCAAAATACAACTGCAGTAACTAGGAATGCATATTATTTAATAGGATACACCGCTGCCCAAATACAAAATAATAAAAAAAATCACTGTTTACTAGATACACCCCGAATGATAACTTGCCTGCATTTAATTATGATGTTTTTCATTGGGGGTAAATCTAAAATCAGCTTGCAAAATCTGCAGTTTTCTTGTCTGCTACCTTTACAAGCTCTCCCCTTCTAGCCCCACCCAGACGTATGTGGTTGTCCAATCACAGACTTCCCAACACAGCTCAATGAGAAGTCTTTGTAAGTCAGCTAATTGTTGCTTCTTAAAGGGATCCTATAGTGCCAGGGGAAAAAAAAGCCTTTTACTGGCACTGTAGGGTTAAAACCTCTTCAGCTTCTTACCTGAATCCAGCAACAGTGACCCTTAGGCACTATTAGCTGAAGTGGTCTGGTTGCCTACAGTGTCCCTTTAAGGTCAGCTGCATTGCGCTAACAAAACCAGGAAGTAGCAGTATCTATTGTCTGCTTGAAAGCCAAGGGGGTGTAACCAGGTTAATTTATAAAAGTGTACATTTCTTTTGAAATCTGCCTGTTTTGCAAAATGAAAAAAGGAGGACACACTCTTCACACAAAGCTTTTCAGCAAGCTAGAGTTGTTTAGCGGTCTGGAGTGACCCTTTAACGCTTACTTACTAAAGAATGATTTGTGTCAAGCTGATGTGTAAAATTAAAATTTTGGGCAGAATGGCAAAGTTAAATAAAAACCTGAGTAAAATGCTAAGTATGTGATTTCATTCAAAATGAACATTGTTGGTTGTCAAATGTCACTAAATCACTGTATATTAAGCAACCCGGAAAAATTACTATTTTAATCCATAATGCAGTTTAAAACTTACTTTCACCTAACCAACATAGTAATATTGTCTGCAATTACACTGTGAATATTTGGCAGTTTTTCAGTACAAAAGTAGCCATCTTTGAATTTCATCACCTAAATTACACGTACACAATAAATAACAACAACAACAACAACAACGTAGCCTGCAGAGAGTTAAAGGATCACTGTGGTGTCAGGAAAACAAAGTGGTTTTCCTGATACTATAGTGCCCTGAGGGTGCCCCCACCCTCAGGGTCCCCCTACCGTGGTGCCGAAGGGGTTAAAACCCCTTCAGTTACTTACTTTAATCCAGCGCCGGGCTCCCTCTGCGCTGGTGACCTCTCCTCCCTGTCTGACGTCAGCTCCCCCATCCGATGTCACTGGAGCCGAATGCTCATGTGCGGCAAGTGCCGCGTGCGCATTCAAAGTGTCCATAGGAAAGCATTTCTCAATGCTTTCCTATGGATGCTCTGCGCGATGGAGCCAAAATTCGCCTCCAGCGTCGCAGATGCGCCTCTAGTGGCTGTCTGGAAGACAGCCACTAGAGGCTAGATTAACCTCAAATGTAAACATAGCAGTTTCTGTGAAACTGCTATGTTTTCAGCTGCAGGGTTAAAACTAGAGGGACCTGGCACCCAGACCACTTCATTGAGCTGAAGTTGTCTGGGTGACTATAGTGTCCGTTTAAGTTATGTCAATAACTGGTTTGCAGAGTAAATCTTCTCCTTGCACAAAAGATGGAAACATTCTCTGATGATGCTGAGTACCCAGTATGTCTTAAGCTATCTATAAATATTTTATTAACTTTTTACAAAAACTGGTGAATAGTTGTGCACAAAGTTCTGCTTGTTCTGAGCTTTTTTCTTTACCAAAAACAGAACCTTTTTTTTTCTGACGCCTGAATTTCTGCATAATGTTGGTTTGGCTCAGCAGAAATTCAGTACCAATAACCCAGTTCAGCAGGGAATCAGATGTACCAAAAGAACAAGAAAATGGGCCAATGAGCGTACTGCAAAATATATACATAAAATAATATAATGTATATATTTTGAAGTACACTGATAGTAGCACCTTCCCACCATTTGGTTCACAAATCAAGTGAGAAAAGGTAACGTATAGTGATGTCCTGAACGGTTCGCCGAACGGTTCGCCACGGATGGCGAATATATGCGCTGTTCGGTCCGCCCCTATGTCATCATTGAGTAAACTTTGACCCTGTACCTCACAGTCAGCAGACACATTCCAGCCAATCAGCAGCAGACCCTCCCTCCCAGACCCTCCCACCTCCTGGACAGCTCACTAAGAATGCAGCTTCACAATGGATGTAAAATGGATGCTGTCCAGGAGGTGGGAGGGTCTGGGAGGAAGGGTCTGCTGCTGATTGGCTGGAATGTGTCTGCTGACTGTGAGGTACAGGGTCAAAGTTTACTCAATGATGACATAGGGGGCGGACCGAACAGCGCATATGTTCGCCGTCTGTGGCGAACCGTTCGGCGAACCGTTAGAGACATCACTAGTAACGTATAGATGGAAAACAGGAGGAGCAAAAAAAAAATAACCTATATTATAGATTATATTACTATTATTATTATATTATATCTATATTTATTAAATATAGACTATGTATATATATATATAAATATAGATTTATTTATTTTTACTGCTCCTCCTTTATTCTCTCATTTGCTCACTTCTTAATTGATCTGGGAATAAAATTAACATTTAGTGACTGAAATAAAATATACCCAAATCACAGACAAACTGCAGCATGCAATGGAAGAGTGTGCTAATTTTAATTTGTGATTCTGTTGCATTTCGGCTCAGAATTCGGTAATTCTACCAAATTCAGGTGAATTGCAGTTCAGACTGAAACTAATCTCCAAGTCTAATATAAAGATTTAAATGATTAGCACAATTTCTGATGGTAGTACCACTTTATTTAAAAATAGATCTTAATAGTCAAAAAGGTATAACGACATTTTTTATAATTAGTAAAAAACTATTCTTACTAACTCAACCCTTGGCTGAAATGTAACATGTTTTAACTGCGAAAACCACTTAAGTGTATGTGCATCTATTAAAGTGTAATTGTGCAATATCCATTGCTTGTTCACAATATATAGTCTTTTGTGTATATACTGTATTTAAATCTAGTCCCTTACCTTTCTTTTTCCACCACGGTCCTTCTGGTATAGAAAATGAAAGGTCTTTGAACTCAATGTTCACAGCTGGCCTCCTGGGCAATGAGGAGAAGCGCTGAGCCTCCGTGAGATTGTTATCAACCTTTTTTAAGTGTCCGTTAAGAAGTGGAGTCTCTTGATTCCCGGCACAGTTGGAGACCACCTCATCCAGGCACACGCAGACTGACTTAGAGTCTGACATTGCCATAGAAGTGATATTAGAATTCTGAAATTAAATTAAGCAAAGTGAATTGGTTAATATAGAATACAAAATGTGTGAATATAATGCATGTTACCATTTGTAAAAAACAAATAAAAGTGTGAGAGTGCACACAATGATTATATTTTGTTACCTTTTTGTTATATTAAAAATGCATTCTTTTTCTTTATAATGATAAAAGAACACTGTATAATTTAAAAAGTACATACATAGATGCGCGGCCATCTTGGTGGGTATTGGACTATGGGTGAAACAGGATGTATCACCATCTCAGAAGTGTTGATTTGCACCCGGTTCGGACCATATATGGACATAAGTTGTATTTAGGCAATTAGCACACCTGTATTGAATATGATTTGTTTATAGGGTATATAAGCCTATGTCGTCAGTTTTGTTTTAGAATTCACCTGAGGAAGACCTATCAGGTTGAAACGTGCTTGTTTTATTGTTTTTCAGAGCTTTAAAATTGCTCTGTAAATTGTGAGTGTTCCATTTTACTCTAAATTCATATTTTTCTGTTTTCAAATTACACTATGGTACTTTTTATATTACACTGTGTTATTTTATTAACAACACAATGATTGTAAATGATACTAATGCTTATATAAGGATGCATTGAGTTGGAGGACCACAGCGATTACTGTGCATGAGTAAAATAGGTCCACAGTGGGTTTCTATAAGAATCATTGGATTGGGTCACACATTATCAATGTTGCTAATCGAGTTACAGGAAGGATCAATGCTAGATGACAAGTAAATCAACGGCTTTTTATAGCTTTTTTTTGATAACTAGTGGGACCCAGTGATCTAAAGTAAAATACTCTAAAATTAACATTAGGGCATACTTTTAAGCTTTCTTAAAGTCATCTATTAAACTCTACACGCACAAATGTGATTTTTTTTTTAACTAATGCAGTTGTTTTTAGACATCTTTGGCAAAAAATGACAAGGACAATTCAGAAAAGTGTACAAATTGCATAGCAAATTAGTCCACTCTCCTTTACCCATAATCCTCCCAGTTAATGTTTTCAGAAATTCCAAACATCTGTCACAAATGGGAGGAGTCATCAAGTTATAAGATAACAGTTAAGATGGCCGCTTTGCATTGGCGTACAGAGAAAGAGCATCTTGCATGCATAAGTAAGTTAAAAATCATTGGGGCTCACAGTCTGCTCCATAAAGACTTTTTTCCCCCAAGCATGGCCTGTGTTGGTTCATTTACATCAGCAGCTGTATACAACCCTATTTTCATCAAATTATCCAGACACCCCATTTTAGAATCCTTATATATGAAATTGTAGAGATAGACATTCACTGGACTTTTAAAGTTTAAAACCTACTTGATTTACCATATGAAATTTGGGGTATATAAGATTGAGAATCGCAACATTAACTCATGATTTAAAATATGGATATTCTTAATTTACCAATACAGTATGGGTTTAATTATATAAAGTTGCTGTTTTAATTACGATGTTTTCTTGTTAGCAGACACAAAAGCAAAAACACAGTTGGCCTTTTGTACCTACAGCTCTTTTTAACCTTGCGTGTTTAGTCTCCCAAACACACTAGGGTCAGTATCTGATCTGTGCCACTTGATACTGCCAACTTTGAAAACATTAAATCTTTCTTTCTTATTTTACAAAGACTAAATACATTCCCAAGGCACAGAAAAGGGGAACAGATCATATTATTTTAGTATAAAAAAACAAAGATGATAGATCAAAATTCAAGTATAACTTACAATAAAAGGTTTATATTGCCAAGCCTTTTGAAATGTGCCAACAGATATTGCTGCCAAGTCGTGAGAAAGGATTTAAATGTTCCAGTAGCTATCATGCAGGTTACTTTCTAAATACAATGTAATGTGTGGATGGGAGTGATGGGGAAATCACTTTCTCCATTAAAGTTACCTGAACCCTTTGCATATCAGACTGATCTCACTGATCTCGCAAAATGCCAGCATGTTTCCTCTGCATAGAAGATACAACAACTCCAGTTGACCATTTGGGAATTAAGCTGGGATCAATCATAAGGCAAAAATTTTGATTTTTGGTCCATACCTCATGGACAAGGTCCACCAAGGCTGAAAAGATACGTAGCTCTTGTGGAGATGGAGCTGGCCATCATTTTGGATCTGTACTACCTTACACATTAAGATCAGTCTAGTATGCATATGATTTAGGTTCTCTCTGTAATGGCCCAAGTTAGGAACTCACCAAAAGGCAAGATATTTACGATGATTCCGATGATTAAAAATAAAAAAAACCTGTTTGTTTATGCAGCCCTAGCCACACCTCCATTGGCTGTAGCTCACACAGCCTCCCTACACACTTCCTGAATTCACTTTGAATTCTCATGCTCGTGAATAATCCTGTGTTGTGTTTTTGTTTTAATACTTTTTTGCAACTGAATGCAAGATGAAAAGTAAATCTGGTGTTTACACCTGTTTAGAGATAAGCTTAGAGTGGTATGAAAGCAAAATGAAAATGTGTATCATGGGTGACTGCTTAGGGTATGTTATACTGTAGGGTATATTCTCTAAATAGTGAGATGCGAAGCAACATTAACTCATTTGAAAACTTTGGACAAATGAGAACCTCGGAATGAATTCCAAAGCTCCTCTTTGTTGGAGAGTTTTTCCAATATTCCTTTTCTCTAAATTTTGACATTTTTTTGTCGTATAGATATCCACAGTTCAGTGAATAGAATTCTGTACATTTCCAGCAGGTATCAGCTGATGTTACCTTTAAAGGATATTGAAAATTGCTAATTTCAATGCACTGAGCTATCCAAGACGTGTAACCATATTTTCATTTAGTCAAAGCACTTAACAGAACTGCATTTGAAAGGCAAGCCATTTCCCAGTCTAATATTAATATACAGCGCAATACTTGCCAAGAAAATACACTATGGCCATTCTGTGCAAAGAGTAATAGCAGCAGAATCCTTCAGCGAGTACCCTGATAATGAGCTGCCAGCCTTTGCCAGTTGTTCAATGTACTCACCCCCACTGCTAGTTCAGATTATCATTAAAAACATTGGAGGCGAGCACTCGCTTGTCCCTTTAGTTACAGCTACAAATTCCTTTAACTGTAGCACCTGTTCCAGATATGAAACCAAGTCAATCATTCTAAAATCATACTTTTAATTTAAAAATTATTTTTTTAAACTAGTGCAAAAAATAAATTTTAACAACTAATTATTTATTATAATTTTATTATTTTACATTTATATAAACACGTATTTAACTTTATATATATATATAAAATGCTCAATTATATTGATCTATTTATCTATCAAACTATCTATAAACACACACATATATGTCTGTGTGCCACTAATTAATTGTGTACACTATTAATTTAGCACTTGATTAAAAGAGAGAGAGAAAGCAAGACAAGTTCATTCGCTATTGATTTGGCCAGCGCTGCATATTTTGCATTAAAGCATCCAGCAAGGCATAGGATATTAGGATGCAGTGAGCTGCTACTGCGCATGCTCCCAGGATCCTGTAATTCTGCTTGCACTGAGCTCACAGAACAGGGAGAGGTAACTATCGGTCACATCCAGCTCCTGCCCTAAAAAAGCAGGTGCAAAAACAAAACAAGTCGAATGTTCAGAGGAAATAGGACAGGATTCCCAAATCACTGAATGGCAATGACAATCCCCTCCTAGCTTCCCATGCTCAGATAACAACACTGCTTACTAATTCTTCATAAACTTCAAAGAGACAAAGCACAGCTGTATGTATCCAGCAAATAGAACGCTGGGATGGAATGTTTATCAAAATAATGGAACGTCGTATTAAACAGAATAATTGGCTGTGAGTTACACTTGGATTGATGTTTAGAAGCAGGGGTGGGGGGAGGGGCATGATGTACAGGTTAAAGGAGTGATAATTCTATGAGTTTTTTATTTATTTACTTCCTTTTTAGCACTTATGGGGTTAAACAAAATGACCTCATTCGATTTCACGAACAACATTTTCATGGCATGGCACTGAAGGAGTTAATGCATCGAAGAGACAGCTTCATCAATCAATTAGCATTTTGTAATTACAGGCACATTATTTAATAACACAGCACATCATCATGATTCACTTAGAAAATATCCCAGCAACTTCGTCCTGCCTCAATGGATATAAATGAACACAGCTGCATCCACACCTAATCAATGCACGATCTGTTTGATTAACCTGTTCTAGAATTACATAGGAAACAAAGTATTCTTCTATTCAATGCAATAATAAACCGGTTTATACACGTATTTAATAAATTCTGATTTCTATGTATAAATAGCTATTTTGATTGGATCTGCGGCAGCCCCTCAATAATAAAATGCTCTGTAGTCTGGCAGCTGAATGGGAGACAAACAGCCCTGTCTTATTATGGGAATCCTTAATTTGGGGCTAAGTTCTAAGAAATCCATATATATACACTGCTTCTCCTTATATACATCCTGATCCTATCAGCCATAATAATAAACTGCTCTATAATCTGTCAGCTGAATGCCAAACACAACACCTTGTTTTATTCTCGTAACCCCTAGTCCCAGGAGCTGACAGTTTAATGTATAGCTCACATATAAATGCTATTTTCTCACAATAACATAATAGTACCCCCTCCAAAAAAAAAATAAAAAAAAAATATATATACTATTATGGAACCAATGACCTTCACTTCTGATCCTATACATTCTAGGTTGTTGCAAATATAACACATTAAAACAATTCACTCACCAGATTGTTGCCCACAGTAAAGGCTGCAGTCAGGCAGGCCATTCCCAGCCCCTCTAGGATACAGGAGCTGTCTATAGGTAGTGGTGCTGAAACTGCTGCTGTCTCTATGGCTCTTAGTTCTCTGCTTTCCTTCAATATTCTGCTGGCCAAAGCATTGCTCTAGAATGCTCATAGAAAGTACTAAACGTCAGCACATTCTTCTCTGGATTGGTTAGAAGGCTGTTGATGGGCTGGGTTTTCTAATGCTGTTAAACGTGCTCTTGTTTTCCTCTATTCCATGTGCATCCTCTCCAAACCCATTATTTACACCTTCCTGTCTCCTTCATGTGTCATTCTATAGAGAATGCTCACTTTCCCCATCCATGCAGTCTGAGCTGCATTACCTTCAGTGCTGGGAGTTCTAGTTAGAATGTGGGTGGCAGGTTTTGGAGGGGAGGAATGCTGTATGAAAAAAAAAAATATGTTTGCAAATAGCATTAATGGTGCAGTGTGAGATGTATCCTAGCCTTTATAAAATGACAGTGACATTTTATTTATTTTTTTTAAAGAGAGAAAAAAGAAAAAGATTAAAAAAATAAATCAGCTATTATGTGGAATGAGATGACTGCAGCAAAGATGGAAAATATGTTATTATGTTAATAGGAAGAGGTTAAGGTTGCTCTTTTTTTTTTTTTTTAACAAATATTTTACCAACAGATGCAGACAATTTAAAATATTATCTGTTTTTAAAAAATGGCCACAGAGAATTACATGGGCTAGATTTAAAATCCAATTTTAAATGCTGTCTGGCATGAGTAGCTTAAAATGTAGATCTCCCTGTTGTAGGACAATTCACGATTGTCAAAGCATCATGGGAGTTGCAGTCCTGCAAGCACTGGGGATGTACCTTTTGCAGCCACGATACTGATGGTCCGGGATAGAAAAATGAAAAAGGATATTGACCTAAAAGAAGTGGGAGAACTGGTGGGTTTATATAAAGAAAATAGAAAAGTTGCACAATTACTGAATATATATTTTATATGTTTATATGCTCACAATTTGAATGCATAGGCCATTTTATTTGAATTATTAATTCAATTTTAAAATACCACCAAGCAGAACTTTATCCCTCTTTAATAATTTCTGAAAAAATAGAGTACTACTCAAGGTGAGTATAAATAATGCTGGGACCAGGGCTAAATTTATTCCCTGCTGCCCCAAGACCAGTTTTCTCAATGTGTCACCCATCTACTCCTTTATATATACATACATATAAATCAGGGGTGGACCCAGAGTCCCATCTCAGGAGGGGCACTGGAAGATATATTTAATATCTTTCTTTTGCTTTTGTGACACACTCTAACTTTTGTGCATTTTTGTAACCCCTGTTGTGCCAGACACTGTGCCTTTTTATTACACAATGCACAGATATGCATTCACCCACACAGACACACACAGATAGGCCAAATGTAGACATAGAAACACACCAACACAGAAATACAATAATACTATCAGAAAAACACACACAGACGGATAAATATACTTCAGAATCACATACAACACAAGTACAGCTACTTTAGAAATGCACACAAATCTATTTGGCAAACATTACCAGTGAGACAGACAGGTACACTGGCCCTTTAATAATTCCCATTTCTCTACACAAAGTTAGCAAATACAGTTGATCCTTGGAACTCAAACTTAACCCCTTAAGGACTGAGCCAAATGTACACGTTGTGATCAAAACAAAACGTAAACAGAACCTGGCATTTGTGCTATATGGGAGAAAATAAGTTTAAAAAAAAATAAATAAAATTGAGCCTAATGTGTAAAACAGTACCCCCTATATACAGGTTTTATGGTGTTTTGGGAAGTTACAGGGTCAAATATAGCATGTTACGTTTTTCAGTTTTTTCACATTGAAATTCACCAGATTGGTTACGTTGCCTTTGAGACCGTATGGTAGCCCAGGAATGAGAATTACCTCCATGATGGCATACCATTTGCAATAGTAGACAACCCAAGGTATTGCAAATGGGGTATGTCCAGTCTTTTTTAGTAGCCACTTGGCCAGAAACACTAGCCAAAGTTAGCTTTAATATTTGTTTGTGTGTGAAAAATGCAAAAAACTAATTTGAACGCCAATTTTGGCCAGTGTTTGTGACTAAGTGGCTACTAAAAAAGACTGGACATACCCCGTTTGCAATACCTTGGGTTGTCTACTATTGCAAATGGTATGCCATCATGGGGGTAATTCTCATTCCTGGGCTACCATACGGTCTCAAAGGCAACGTAACCAATCTGGTGAATTTCAATGTGAAAAAACTGAAACACAAGCCTTATATTTGACTCTGTAACTTTTGAAAACACCTTAAAACCTGTACATGAGGGGTACTGTTATACTCGGGAGACTTTGCTGGACACAAATATTAATATTTAAAGTATTAGAGCAATAATATCGTCCGTGTAAGTGCTGTTTGTGTGTGAAAAAATGCAAAAAACGTCACTTTCACTGACAATATCATCATTGTAATACATTTTACTGTTTTGAAACACAAATATTTGTGTTCAGCGACGTCTCCCGAGTAAAACAGTACCCCCCATGTACAGAGGCTGCAGACTGCGGTCACTGGGCACGGGGGGGTGCCTGGGTGGCTAGGTATGCCCCCTGACAGCGATCTGCAGTGGGCTAATGGCGCTGGCCACGTGGGCGGCAAGAACAGCTAGGACGTTCTATGTCACACGCCGGCATTTAGAGCCAGCCCCTTAAGGACGGCATAGAACGCCCACCGTCCTTAAGGGGTTAATTCATTCCTGAAGGCTGTTTAAAAACAGAGGAGGGGGCTGAGAAAGGAGAGCCAGACCCTAACTCTCAACTACCTTTACCAGATCTTCACACTGGATCCCAGGGAAGCCACCCTCCTGCACCCAAAAGGTAGGAAACAGGAGGTTGACAATAAAAGTGTATATATTGATCAGCATGTGTCTGTGTGTGTGTTTATCTGTATGTCTGTCAGTGTGTGTATCTGTGTCTGTCTATCTGTATGTGTATCGGTTTCTATATATGTGTATATGTGTATCTGCATGTTTGTAATTGTATCTGCATGTGTGTCTGTGTATCGGTGTGTATGTGTATCACAGTGTGTGGCAGTGTATGTGTAATGTGCATTCATCTCAGCAGTTAAACACCAACACTACACACAAATACACCCCTGCATTCAAATGTCAATTACTACATACAAAGACACCCCTGCATTCAAACGTCAGCACTACATACAAACACACCCAAATATTCACACGAACATACTCCATACTCCATACAAAAACATACTTACATTCAAACACACAAACACTGGCCTGAAATGTAAATACGTACTTGTGACTGCATGTGTGACTGCCTGTGTCTTTATATCTCTGTATGACTGTATGCCTGTGTCTGTATGTCTAGGTATAACTATATGTCTGTGTATGCATGTCTCTGTATGCCTGAGTCTGTATGTCTCTGTTTGAGTGTGTCTATATGTCTCTGTATGACAGTCTGTCTGTGGCAATATGACAATGTACTTGTATGTGTAGATTGTATGACTGTGTCTGTATATCTTTGTCACTGTGTGCCAGAATAACTATGTTTATATGGGAGAAAGAGACACAGAAAGGGACAGGTGGGGAAGTAAGAAATACACAAGAGGGGTTGTAAGAGACACACTAAAGGGGATGTAAAACACAAAGGGGTAAGACATTCAAGAGAGGGGATATGAAGCACTAAAGGGGGTGATAAATTCTAAAAAGTGGTGGTGCCACAAGACACATAGGTGGAGACATTTTTTTTTTGGGGGGGGAAGCATCTTCGCCTGCGTATCCAAACAATCTTTGCACCAGCCCTCGACACACAGAGCCATTTTGGCATTATTTTTGTTAAATACATCATGCAAGGTCTAATATTTATTTATTTATAAAATATTTTACCAGGATGGATACATTGAGATTTCTCTCATTTTCAAGTATGTCCTGGGTCCACACAGGGCCGGTGCAAGGATTTTTGCCGCCCAAGGCAAAAGAAAAGTTTGCCGCCCCCCCATGTGACATCACAATGCCCCACCCATATGATCTGCCATGTTAACTAACGCCAGTGCTGCAGTGCCACCGTGTTTACATTAAAAGGCCTGCAGGGACAGGCTATAGACACCAGAACCACTACATTAAGCTGAAGTGGTTCTGGGGACTATAGTGTTTCTTTAATGTGAGGTAAATTAGAGCTTAGTGCCACGAATAATATACTAGATTGCCTACTTACAACCAGATGAGGATGATGATGGGCTCTAGCTGCAGTCTGGCTCCACTGGTCTGGTGCAGAACAGGCTCTCTGGAGGCGGTTTGTAACTGTGGTCACAAAAATCAATGTTCTGGGAGAACGGGAAGCAGCTCCATTTTTTTGGGGCCCTTTACACAGCTCAAGGTCTGGGTCCCAGGGTCCACCTTCATGTTCCACCAATGAGTTTGTTCACAGGGGGTGGAGTGTGTAGGGGATGTCCTGATATGTGTGTAAAGAATGCACTGTGTGAATCTGTGTTTGTAAATGTAAGGGCTGCAAGGTGTGTTTCTGTGTATGTACGGGATGCAGTGTGTGCATCTGTAAGGGATGCATTGAGTGTGTGTAAGGGGTGCATTGAGTGTGTGTAAGGAATGCTTTGTGTGTTTCTGTGTGTGTAAGGGATGCATTGTGTGTAAGGGTTGCATTGCTTGTGTATGTGTGTCTGTGTGTGTAATGCATTGTGTGTTTTTCTGAGTGCAAGGGGTGCATTGTCTTTCTGTGTAAGGGGTGCATTGTGTGTGATTGTGTGTGTGTGATGGATGTCAATCTCTGCCCCCTCTCTTGTCACTCTCTTCTCCCCCTCTCCCTCCTTTGTCACTCTCTTCTCCCCCATCCCTTGTCACTCTCTTCTCCCCCCTTGTCCCTCTCTTCTCCCCCCTTGTCCCTCTCTTCTCCCCTCTCTCCTCTCTCCCCCTTGTCCCCTCTTCTCCCTCTCCTCCCTTGTCCTCTCTCCCCCTTGTTCTCTTCTCCCTCCCCTCCCCACTTCTCACCTCCCCTCCCCCATCCCTGTCATTTCTTTCTCTCCCCTGTCAATTTCTTTCTCTCCCTGTCAATTTCCCCCCCCCCCTGTCAATTTCTTTCTCTCCCCCTGTCAATTTCTTTCCTTCAATTTATTTCTCCCCCCCCCCCTACCTCTGTTGTAGCATGGCCGAGCTCTGTATGGTCCGCGGGTACAGGGAGCTTTTGTTTCCTGAACCCGGCTAGACTAAAAGGAAGTGCACACTCAGTGTACCCACGGACCATACAGAGCTCGGCCACGCTACAGTGAGGGAGTGACAGGAGGGAGCACTGAGCGCTTCGCGCTTCCCTCCTGTCAGCCCCTCTCATCATGCTGCGCCGGGCGGTGCGCCCTCATGGACTCACCAGCCCGGGCAAAGCTGCAGCCGCCTGAGGCTCTCTACAGAGCGCTCGGTCGTCTGCAGCATGAGGGGGGCCGGCGCTCCTGGCGGCGCCCCTTCCCAAGGGGCGCCCTAGGCAGCTGCCTAGTCCGCCTAACAGGTAGCGCCGGCCCTGGGTCCACAAAGCATTGCATTATTACAATAGGATACAATATTACAAAAAATACAATATACAAGACTTTTTGCACAGGGCACTTAATTGCCTAAGGCCAATCATTCTAACATGACATTCTTATCTGCGTAGCCATTATTAATTATCACATAATTGTAAACTATAATAGATAAAAAGAAAATGCTAAAAAATTATTTCCTTTTCTGTGACGTATCATTCCCTGGGGAACATCCAAGGGTTAATAGAGAGTGTGTTATGGTTGGAGTTATAATTAGATTACAGCTAGAGTTAGTGTTAGACTAGGGGTAGGGTGCAGTTGTCTAGTAGTAGTATATAGTAGTAGTGTATAGATTAAAGGGAAATGTTTACTATTAGGGTATGATTTGGATGTTCATGTCCCAAAACTGCCTGGGATTAGTGAGAGTTTCACTTCCTATTCCACTTCACTCACTTACTATTTCAGCTGTTGCCATTCATTCAGCTTGAGAATGCTCTCAATTAAAATTGGATCAAATACAGCTCCCACAAATCTGAGGCAGACTAGGACATGGATGGTGCAGATGTGTCCAATACTATGATCCATGAAGTACACAGAGGAGAACCCTACAATATTCCCTGTTCATTATAAGACAAATTACACTCTTATTCCAGACTGGTTGATGACACTCAATGACATAGCTGGAGGTTTCAGAAAAGGTTAAACTCTGTATGGGTAGAGTTTCATATCAAAATCCTGCACATACAGGTGCTATTTGCCATCAGGGCTGGACTAGCCCACTGAGATACAGGGCCAGCATACCTTCGGACTGGTGTGCAGCCATCTAGGGTGCACTGGCCCAAGGGGCACATGGCACAATCACTTGGTGACCATCATGTAGCGTGGCCGAGTTGTGGACCGCGGTTGAGGATCCTCTGTTCCCCTACCTTATCTGGCAGGAAGTGCTTTTCCTATCAGGCCATGGAGTGGAAAACAAAGGTTCTTCCAAGAAGGCTCATAAGGAACTGGGGGGGGGGTGGAGTTGAATGAGACACATGGAGGGGCGGGAGGAAATGGGACATAGTAAGCGGCTGGAGGGGGGGAGGGATGAATAAGACACATGGAGGGACTCGGGGTGAGGGCTGCGTTACACATAAATGGACACATAAATGGGCTGGTGGGGGAAATGAGACACATGGAAGGGCTAGAGGGAATGAGACACATGGAGGGCTTGGGGGATGAATGAGACACATGGAGGGGCTGGGGGAATATAAGACACATGGAGGGGCTTGGGGATTAATGAGACACATGGAGAGGTTGGGGGAATATGAGACACATGGAGGGGCTTGGGAATGAGACACGTAGAGAGGCTGGGTGGAATGGAACACATGGAGAGGTTGGGTGGAATGGGACACATGGGGAGACTGGGGGGTGAGTTAGACACATGGAGAGATTGGGGGAATATGAGACACATGGAGGGGCTTGGGAATGAGACACGTAGAGAGGCTGGGTGGAATGGAACACATGGAGAGGTTGGGTGGAATGGGACACATGGAGGGAATGGGGAGTGAGTTAGACACATGGAGAGGCTGGGGGTGGGATGAGCCACATGAATGGGCTGGGTGGGAATGAGACACTTGGAGGGGCTGGTGGGGAAATGATTCCCAAACCAAATCATTGAATGGCAATAGTGTTTGGAGTAATCCTTTAAATTTTCTGACATTAATTAACGTTAATTAAAAATCCACAAAGTAATAACATTTATTCTATAAAAGGCAAATCGATTTTAAATGTCAGCCTAACCTGTAATTGTTAGTAAACATGTGCATTTGTTCTGA